CTATGGAGCTCACTAAGTGCGAGCTGACGACGGCTGCAGAAGATCCACAATTCCACCTCCCCCAGACAAGATATCATTGTCTGTTTGCGTGGGGGTGGGGAGGGGGGCAAAGGGGAACTTAACACTGCTTCAGCTATATTTATGTGCCACAGTTAGACATTTAGGGGGGGCCATCGAAATCCCCCCAGCAGCAAAACAAAGGTATTTAACATGATCATACTGTGGCTGTATTGCTTGATTTATCTTTTATTTTGATAACTTAATCAACTCCGGCTCAGAATAGCTTGCAAAGAAATCATGTCTCAAAGTCTCAGCATGTGGCAGTGAAGTAAACATAATTTAGATTTCTAAATGTTGTAGGTAGTTTTGCTTTTACTGTGGCAGTTTGATTTCCAGCTCATTCTGGACCTGATTTCAGAGGAAACCTCCTACTGGTTGCTGGGATTTTCCAGAATTGCCTGCTCAACGTGACTATTGGGTAGATTGTTGGGGAGTCAATTGTTATTACACATGCCTTTACTAAGCAGAAATTGGATTGTATGAACCTCACCATCCATCCATCCATCCATCCATCCATCCACCCATCCATCCATGCATTTTCTATAACCACTTTTCCATCACAATGTCTCATTATATAAGCCAGGGTTTGTCTTATAATTTTGCTTCCCTTGTGAAACTCAGCCTTAATAAACCTTAATCAGCCTTAATAAACACTACACTTTGAATTACTTCATTATTGAGAACCATGAAGATATAGTTAGTTAGGTAATTAATCAATTAAGTATATTCACATTAAAAAAAACATAACGTACATTACAATAAATTTTTTAAGCATTACATAAAATAAATCTTTTTTTATCATTTTATCATAATATACCTTGACAGATCCTTCAGGGAGGATTTTGAAATCACACACTTCAGTGCAGACAGTCCACAGGTATCTACTAGGGTAGGTCAATTCAAATCTCTTCTTCATGTGAAAGCAAAACTGAAATCGAGATAAACACAGTGTGAAATTTTCTCACAAAGCTACATAAAAGGATCCCACACTGGTTGGAAAACTCACAGTCCGATAACAGGGACATTAAACAAAAGCACTCGACAAATTACGTAATTTACATCTGGAAGGCATGACAGAAGGAATTTTTACACTACAAACAGTCACTACCAAGACCTTCACAAATAAAATTTTAACAAAACAATTATTCAGCCACGGATATTTCACAGTATTCCAGATCCCTAACTCACCATCATAAACACGCGTGACCCAGGCTAATTAGAGCACCGATGAATTTTAACTGTGTGTCCCTGCATTATGACTCTAGAGTTAAACACAGGAGGTCTGTGCATTTCAGGAGACTCTGTGAGCTGAAGGTTTTCTGTATGACATACTCCACACGTGGAAAACTTTCATGCTGTTGGCGGCCAGTTCCGGGAAAAGGGAATGACTCAATGGTTCACTTTCGGCACAAGGAAACGTTGTCTTTCAGAGATGGTCACTGGTATCCAGCATAGCACTGGTGCTTGCTTATAGGTATCCAAACGTCATGGTCGGCACCACGGTTACTGGCCAGACGCGTGATTCAGCAGATCCTACTTCACACTGGCTTGTGGTTTCTGTGGTTTCACCTGAGCCACAGTTTCTCATCATTGACCTACCGGCAGAAAAATGTCCCAGTTGATTCTGCCCTCACAACGGATGTAAGTTTCCTACAGCTGGTAACACTGGATTATTCACTGATGGGCCGACATTTCGGGAGGAAAGTCCACACTAAGACCACAGCTTCACTGTAGTAAACATGACTCATCGCAATTCCTGTCCTTTTTAAATTTTAAAATGGCAAACTGTGGAATATTTCAAAGCTTGTTAACAACTATTTCAGAATTGAGTTACTGCCTACAGCAACGAATAAATGAGAATGTAAAGAATTTTATAGCATTTGTTTGTTTCCCTGCTCCCTCCCCATATCCGTGACTTAAACTCTTATCGGTCTCTGCAAATCAAATCAGGTTACAGAGGGGAAAACGATCCGGTATTAATGTGTCGTTTTCCATTCAAGGCACCCTACAGAGTCGTCATCAAAGGTACATTTTTTCATCCTACACACTCTAGGATTTTGTTCCCCCAAACCCTGGAGGTTGATTTAAACTTCTGTGTAGAATCCACGCTGTTGGTGCAGCATAGATAATACCACAGCCTGATGCACAGAAATGTACCTCTAGGCATCGGGCTATGGTGTAGGGCAGGGCTCCCCAGCTCTGGTCTTGGGGGGCCAGTTTGCAACATAGTTTGCAGATTTCCCTGCTCAAACACAACTACAAAACCTGGCAATTAGCTGAGTTAGATGTGTTTGAGCAGGAAAATCTGCAAACTGTGTTGCAAATTGGCCCCCCAGGACCAAACTTTTGGAATAAGTATAAGTGTGAGGAATGTGACTACCAAAGGCGTGGATACTGTACAGAAGTGAAAATCAGCCTTAAGATGACAAGACGGATTGGGACACAGACTCCTTCAGTTATCTACCCCTGTGTGACCAGCCCTTAACCTCTTCTTTGTTAGAAAAAATGGCATTCAGTTCAACAACTAGTTTACTACCTTAAACACATACACATATCTAATGGCGGATACAAAAAGAATATATTTTGTTCAGTAATACACAGATGGAAAAATGAAGGCTAAGCATTTTTCTTAGGGTCGTAACAGTGGGGCTCTTGCAAGGCCCTGAATGGGTAAGCTATGACCCCAGTTTAAATCTTTCATCTGAGTATATGAGAGAACGGGGCATGCATGCAGACAAGCATGTCCATCAACACGTACCCCAGCCCAGCCTCAGAGAGGGTGTGAGGCTGATCTGCATGAGTCAAACCCTGACTCAAGCTGTGGTAGGAGATGGGACAGATGTGAAGGGAGTCGTCTGAGGGCAGAAAATTACCCCGACACAATTCACACAGAAGGAACACACTCCTCTCATATAACAGTCTAGCTACAAGTACTGAACCTATGGCAAGGAGCCAATTCAGATCTGAGCATTAATTAGATGCCTGAGTAATATCGCCAGCTGGGGCCTGTATGAGACGCATGAGGGCATGTTACCGACTACCAAACGCAGGTCCATGGGCTTCGCCGCCATTAAATCTGAGGGGGACGTGTCCCCCTCACATTTCATAATTATTCATATGGACCCCCCCAAATTTAACATAAAATATTAGTTTTATGCCAGTGTGTCCCCCCCCCCCCCACATTCAAAATGCTTCTGACGCCCCTGCACAGGTCGATTCAAAAGATAACTCCCCTTCAAGGGTGCACAGATCCAGTTCAGCCCAGATGCCTGGCCTGCGGTCAAAGGAACCGGTATCTTCAGCGTTCCCAAACATTCTGGGGGAGGGGCTGAGCTACAACCAGGGCTGGCCTGTGGCATAGGCAATATTGGCAAATGCTAAGGGCGGCAACTTCTAAAGAGGGGTCGAACTGCCAGCAAATTTCCCTTTGCCTCAAGCGGGGGGCGCTGGCGGTGATGCTCGCCTAGGGCGCCACACCGGCTAGGACCGGTACTGGCTACAACCACAGGAAAGTATGGCAACAAAATCCGCAGGGGATCTGGGTCGCTGGGGGCAGCTTTCTCCTTCGGCTTTGCCTCGTCAGCTTTTGTGTCGTCATTGTTGTTCTTGGGGTCCTGCGAGAAGAGGGGAAATTAGTAGCTTATCCTGCCATTTGTTGTGACTTGACAGAAAAAATAAATGATACCGTTTCTGTGAAATGTCCGAGTGAGGTGGGATGGACCTCGATGATCCCTAAACAGCCTGCTTTTCTGTAGCTGGCTGTTACCAATTTCCCTGTGTGAAAAGCTACCTGGATTCAATAAGCTTAGTGTTGCTCTCTTTCCTTATATTTCATTGCCAGTTACCAATAACTGTGTCACGGTGTGAAGCTAAACTGGTCTGTCTACAAGTCATTTCCACATGTGCTTCTTCAGATAGTGGATCTAGTGCCGCTCGCTTTCCACATACATAACTATTTCAAAAGCATTATTTATATGGATCATATAATCCAATTCAATTCAACATATTATATAATTTTCCCAAAATACACTTTTCATTATACACATGCACATATTGTTTTTTTTAAAGACTTCATAGAATCATTTAGAAGTGTATTTTGGTACTTTAATAAAATATCATACTAATGAGCAATATACCAGCTGTAATATCAGACTGTAATATCAGATCAGGTTTCTTCTTTGTTTCGAAAAATAGCTTTTTTTTATCTGTTTACACACCATCTCCATAGAAAAAGCAATGACAGCCGTATACTTGTGTAAGTTTTGTTCACATTCAGACTTAACCACTAGCGGTTCCTCAGTAGTTCTGTGCTCCACCCTGGAAGATCATAAGGCGGAGGTTAACATCTGTGGCCGCACATGTGCGATCCGCAATATACTCGCGTTCTGGCCGATCCTTCTCCCCCCAGAAGGCCGCTTATGCGCACGGGAGGGGAAAGCATGCTGCCCGGGCAGTATTATAGCTAAACAGACAAAACTATGTCCACCATAATACGGCTCATGTCCCCTGGGTGTCCCATATGTCCCGTCAATGTAAAGAATCGTGTTTCAAGGACTCCTTTATAATTTCTGCTGCCCAATAACGAGCTATAACTACCTTCAATATCTTAAGCAATTATTCCACACTCCCGGTGTTTTCACACTCAGGGCTAAGAGAGCAGAAGGACACGGTTCTCAAAATACCTGCAAGGTTTTCCTTTCAATTAATGTCCTAAAACGACTTAACAAAACTGGACCTGAATTTAGAAATTTGGTTGCCAAAATAAAAACCAGACATTTAAACAACGTTGATTAATTCGGTTAATGTCTAAACCACATTTTCCGGAGCCGTATTTGTAAGTGGAATATACCTCCCTCGTGTCTGCCCAGGGGTACTCCCCTCCCACCCGGGGCCGATCCGACGATAAAAACGCCGTCTGGGGCCGCGCCGCTTCCACTCGCTACTGGCTCCCCCTAGCAGGACCGCTGGAGTTCACTTCGGGAGAGGGAGGGGAGGCGTTCGGCGGTGTCGGGATCCGTGCATTTTCATTTTTACTCAGGAAACTGAAGGTGCCAGCCTAAGTTATTTTCCTCACTAAGATTTAACAATGAGCGGCAGCCCATTGACAGGGATCCTCGTTGCTCTGTGTGTGAGCAGCGCTGTTCACTGCATGCCGAAGAGCCGGCGGATGGCTCAGGAAAAAGTATATCCCGGCATAGAAGAGGCATCTTCTGTTTCTCAAGGTGAGCTGCCTGAAATACTGTCTAAGTATATTCATTCTTTTTGGAAAAAAAGTTATAGATATTTGTTAATAGTATATGCATTAAGATCAATATATCATTGACCATTTGTTAATAAGAAACTGCTTATTTTTTTATTCTTCACAACTTTTAGTGTCAATGTTTAAATGAGACGGCATAAAACACTTTTGCATTTCGTACTAATGCTATTAACTTTGCAGTATTTATTTTAAGTCCAAGTCAATAGCGTTGCGGTTACAGATGTGCATGTTAATTGATCATTCACTAGGACTTTATTCACTAAATATCTCCCTCAGACGGCTGTCTCGAAAATGGCCGATATTATAGAGTTAATGAGCAGTGGGACCGACCGCATCTGAGTGGAACGTTGCTCTGCACTTGTCTGGGTTCTGCAGGAATTAAGTGTAAAACTAAACCTGATGGTGAGCTCTCGTCTTCGTCTTGTCTTGATTTATTCAATCTAGACTCTTTTAAGTTCAGTCTAGAACTGCCTTTATACTCATCCATGTTTCCACATTCCTTACTGTGGACGCCTCAGATTCTACTTTGTTTCGTTGTGCAATGCTGATAAAATCATGCGATTGATTTTCTATTATTTGGAGCCGTGCTGTTTCCGTGCGCTTTCTCCATGTCTGTCCTGCCAAGCATCTTCGCTTCAGCAATCCCGAACTGACCAGCGCTGTCCGTCGTTTTCAGCCGAAGAAACATGTTACGATAAAATCAACGCGCGCTCGTACCGGGTGGGAGAGACCTATGAGCGCCCCAAGGACGGTATGATTTGGGACTGCACGTGTATCGGCTCCGGCCGGGGAAAGATCAGCTGTACTATTGCAAGTGAGTGACTGTACACTGCTGCCAGTTCATCGAGTCCGTCGTTGTCAGAATAAGACCACTTACACCGGCCCGTTTCTGTTTTAGACCGCTGTCACGAAGGATCAAATTCTTACAAGATCGGGGACACATGGAGGCGGCTTCACGACATCGGGGGCTACATGCTGGAGTGCGTCTGCCTGGGCAATGGAAAGGGGGAGTGGACCTGCAAACCTCTGGGTATGGATGTATAGCTGACGGGTCGCAAATAGATGGGAATGAAGTATACTGGTGAAAAAAGCCCAAAGTTACTGTCACTGGCATAAATTATGGGAGGATGGGGGTTCTAACTCACGCAATAATAAAAACCAGCTAATACAACCCCTTGGACCGCCTTAAATGGGTGGAGTCCTCAACCTCCCCCCCCCCACAATGCTCTACCCAAAGTTATGCCTCTGGTTATTGTTGTTTTTTGACAGTGTTTCTTTCTTCTTCATTTTTTTTTTTACAACTATCCAATTCAGTTGGATACTATCTATTTATTGACCCTAGTCATTCGCCCTGACTGTAATGGTGTTCGCCATCTAAACCTCTTGCAGAAGTTTAGTTCCAAAGTTTTATTTCAATGTCAAATTCCCCATAGTAGTTATTAATTAAGATAACGGGTCACTGTATCTATCCTGTAATGACAAACCTTGTGTAGGTGAAATATAATCCCACCCCAAGCACCCAGGAACCCTTACGGTAGACAGTAACCCTGATTTCTCTGTCCCTATCCACAGCGGAGCGTTGCTATGACAACGCAGCTGGCACATCCTACGTGGTGGGTGAGACCTTTGAGAAGCCCTACCAGGGCTGGATGATGGTGGACTGCACCTGTCTGGGTGAAGGCAGCGGTCGCATCACCTGCACCTCTAGAAGTAAGGAGTATGGATGGATGGATGGATTGATGTGTGGATGGATGGGTGGATGGATAGATGGATGGATGTGTGGATGGATGGATGGTGTGGATGGATAGATGGATGGATGGATGTGTGGATGGATGGATGGTGTGGATGGATAGATGGATGGATGGTGTGGATGGATAGATGGATGGATGGATGGTGTGGATGGATAGATGGATGGATTTGTGGATGGATGGATGGTGTGGATGGATAGATGGATGGATGTGTGGATGGATGGATGGTGTGGATGGATAGATGGATGCATGGATGTGTGGATGGATGGATGGATGAATGGGGTGACTCCTCTCACTGCATACACACCTGCTCAGCCAGTCAGAGCTGGACATTCGGAGGCCAGGGAAGATCCTGCCATCTGCCGCAGTGGAAAAACGTTTATCTGGCTGCTCTGCTTCGGAAAATTGTTTTCTCATATGACTCCCCTCTTCTTTTCCACGTTCCAAAATCATTTTATTCACGTGTTTCACTCGCACAGTGTTTGACTGTAATTGAACTGCAGGAATCTGGCAGTAAATTTCACAGCTTTGATTTCTAAGGCTGCTACCGACTCATTTACACACAGGGGGGGGAGTGAGTTCTTTGTTGTGATTTAGGCATGAGCTGAGTTGCTAAATGTGCCACACAGGGGGTGTGGGCTTTGGTGGAATCCAATCGATGTCCACACACGGCTGACCTGATTAAACCACCCCCCCCCCCCCCCTCCCCCACCCCGGCTCTGACCCACCTGTACAGACCGCTGCAATGACCAGGACACGCGTACTTCATATCGCATCGGAGATACCTGGACCAAGAGGGATTCCGGTGGGAACACTGTGCAGTGCCTGTGCACTGGAAACGGCCGGGGCGAGTGGACGTGCGAGAGGCACTCGTCCCTGCAGACCGCCATACTGGGTAAGTGGGACCCCCGGGCAGATGTGGGGGCCAGATGTGCAGCCGCATGAGCGCTAACAATAACATCACTGATAATTACATTATGAGAAACTCAACATACCAGTCTGCTCCATCTGCCCACCCCCACCGACCCCCATTCTCTTAAATTCAGGCACTGGGACGCGGGTGGTGACCGACCTCCAGGAGGCCGTGTACAGGCCCCTGCCCCTGCCCAAGCCCCCTGTGCCCGGTAGCTGCCTGACGGACGCCGGCATGACCTACTACCTGGGAATGCGCTGGGTCAAGACCCAAGGCAGCAAGCAGATGTTGTGTACCTGCCTGGGGAACGGCGCCAGCTGCGAGGAGTGGGGTTGGTATCTTGGACCTGAAATGGTTCTTGCCATTTCAGGTCCATGAGCTACGAATCCAGACCATGATTTTGTTTCTACCAACCAGCTGAGCATAACAGTCACAGAGTACGCAACTTGTTGGTAGAAACAAAATCTTGGATTTGTAGCTCCTGGACCTGAAATGCCCAACACTTGTTCTTGGATACCTGTAGACCAGGGGTGGCCTGTCACACCTCTGGAGCTTCCAAAGAAACCATTTAGCCTATCAGTATAACTTCCGCTTTTGTGATTTAAAGATCCAATAAAAATTTTCAGTCCAATCAGAGAGTCGTCTGCAGCCCCACGTGAATTTTTCTGCCTGTGTGTTTCCGCCCCGCAGAGGGTCACTCTCAGGTGTACGGGGGCAACTCTGATGGCAAGCCCTGCGTGTTCCCCTTCGTGTTCATGGGCAAGACCTACTACTCCTGCACATCAGACGGGCGGAGTGACGAGCAGCTGTGGTGCAGCACGTCCTCCGACTACGAGACGGGCCACAAGTACTCCTTCTGCTTGGAGAAGAACGGTGAGCAAACGCATGGCCCCTGAAACGCAGCTCACTAGGGGTGACTTTCCCGAAGCCTTCTTAACGTTTTATATTTAAAAATAGAACTTTCGAATGACGTAGCGTAAAGAAGGCTTCGGGAAACTCACCCCAGGTGTCACAGCTGAAGCACGCTGACTTAGTTTTGTGAAAACCGCAAGAACAACAACCTCAAAACCTGTCGGAGCTGGATATTTCAGGTCGGTCCAGAAAGTAAAAATCCAGACCAGGATTTAGCTTCAACCAACCAGTTGAGTACTCTGTGACTGTGACTCTTTATATACAACTGATTGGTTGAAACTAAATCTTGGTCTGGATTTTTACTTTCTGGACCTGAACTATCCATCTCTGGTTAGTGTATAATGTCCTTGTCAGCCTGTCAGGCCGTAGATTGGTGGGTTTCTGTCTTTTTTTCCCCTTACCTTTGTCCTGTGTGCACACCAGCGCCCCCTAATGGACTTTACAAGGTGTTTCTCTGTGCTTCCTGCGATAGGCTGTAATCCGGCGTGATTCTGGTGGAACATACGTGTGTTTTTCGCCTCCAGTGCTGGTGGTAACGAGAGGCGGTAACTCCAACGGCGCCCTATGTCACTTCCCTTTCCTGTACAACGGCCATAACTACACCGACTGCACGTCGGACGGCCGCCAGGACGGCATGAAGTGGTGCGGCACGACCTACAACTACGACGCGGAGAAGCGGTTTGGCTTCTGCCCCATGGCCGGTGAGTTGGGGTCTGGCTGCGCAGATGACCAGTTCCAGCTATATAATAGGACAAATGACATTTTTGTGGTTTGTTAATGCTACATATTAATACACATTAATGATTCATTTGCTGTAAATTGTATGTTGTGTGTAAATGGGGCAAATGCCTATTTCTCTTAAGTACCAAATAATTTTCCTGAAACAGGTGGGACAGATTTTGCCATAATGACCATGTTGTCAGGGGACATTTCCTCAGTGCTCAGTCTAAGCCAAAATACCCATGATTAGGCCACTTTATGCAAGCAATTGGTGCCCAAAAAGAGCAAATGCTGTTTGTCAGCCTTCATTAATGGCAATTCGGCGCGACGTTACAAGCCGTGAGCACAGGAAAGGTGCGATGTCACCATGTTGACAATTGGGGTCCATTTAAGGTGAGGTAGCAAGGGGGGGGGTTGAAAGGATTCTTCCCTGGGGGAGGGAGAGCCGCTGTAGATGGTGCATGTCTTTTAATGGTTGCTGAGCAAATGAAGGTAGGATTTTGTGTTTTTGATGGAAAGTAATTGCTGTTTGGCTGAGGGACACACCGAAAATCAGAGACTGTAGCGACTTAAGGAGCGACCGTGAAAGCAATTAGATGGCTGGCAAAATGAGCGTGGGATTTTACTCTGTATTGTGGCTTGAGGAGGTCATAATGACTGCAGCCCCCAGCTGCCCTGGCCTGGCTCAGCCTCAGGAGCCCCCCCCCCCCCCCCGGCTGGACCCCCACGTCTGCCTGGCCCTAAGGCAGCCTGGCTGGCCTCCAGCATCCTGGTACCCTGCCACATCACCTTCAACATTCAGTTCTGTGCTCCACTTCAGTCACTTCCCTTCCCGCCACGCTGCCACTCACATTCCCGCAATAAAATTAGACGTTTACACCATCCCAGTCCAAATAAACACCCATTTTATTCTGAAAGTATAAATAGCACATAATTCTCTGGCCTGACATTAGCCATGCACAGCCTTCCGTATCTCCACCGCGGATCTCAGTCGTTGACATCATCAATGGGGCAGTCGGCAGCCTTGTCCTTAAATACTATACCTGTCTCCAGACCAGTGACTCAGAATCTCCCCACCTGGTTTCCGCAGCTCACGAGGAAGTGTGCACCACCAGTGAGGGCGTGATGTACCGCGTGGGAGACCAGTGGGACAAGCGCCACGACGTCCTGGGTCACATGATGCGCTGCACATGCACAGGGAACGGGCGCGGCGAGTGGAACTGCATCGCTCACTCTCAGCTCAGAGGTTGGTGGTGGGGGGGGGTTCGGGGTTGGTTAAACCAATATGGGGGCTAGACAGTTGTAATGTCATCGTGATGTCACTGACGTTTGTTGTCCCCCATGCCAGACCAGTGCATCCTGGATGGGCAGACGTACGAAGTGAATGAGACTTTTAACAAGTTGCACGAGGAGGGCTACGTCATGAACTGCACCTGCTTCGGCTTGGGCCGCGGCCGCTGGAAGTGCGACGCCATTGGTCAGTTTGTCATGTGATTCTGCTCCGTCTGTGTTTTGTAAGGAAGTGCATGGTGCTTGTGAAGCTGGGCTTTTTCGGTGATTCTGTTTGAATTAAACATGAGTTGACCGTTAGACCGGCCGTTCTAACCATACCCCCAAACTCCACCCCCCCAGACCAATGCCAGGAGCCAGAGACTAAGGCATTCTACCAGATTGGGGAGTCTTGGGATAAAGTCATCCGGGGCATCCCATACAAATGCTATTGCTATGGCAACGGCATCGGGGAGCTGAGCTGTGAACCGCAGCAGTCTTACCATGGTAAGTCACGGCTTGACGCACTGGGCTCGGTGACCGCTACCACGTCCGTTTGGTGTTCTGCGTCACACGGCTGGAACTTGGGTTTCCATACAGAACGTCTTGTTCCACAATAAAAAAAAAATGTCTGTCTGGTGGTGGAGCCCCCCCAGGAGGCCTGCCTGCCCTCGCGTGATCTGATTGGCTGCTTCTATAATGATAGGCCTCTCCCTTTCTTCAACTATCTACGGAATCAGAATCCGAAAAGCTTTATTATCCAGAAGGAAATTGTGTGAAGGAGCTTTGCTAACTGCTGTGCTTTGAGGTTTTTTTCCCCATGATGTGTCGCACCCTTCCCTGCCCCCCCTCCCCCCCCATCCCCCTGCCCCCCTTAATTAGTTTGTACTGCCTCTTTTTGGTTTATAGGGGTGGGCTGGTGGGACTGTTGGGCTTGGTTTTATCTTTTTCCTTTGGTATAGTTCAATTCCGCCACTGTCCTCCCCATACAAAATCCTAAGTTTGGATGAGTTAACCTTCGAAGGTACTGCGCAAAAACTTACTCCAAACCGAAAGCACTTATTCTACACTAATTCTATTATGTAGTCCTAGATTTTTTAAGTGTCAAGTGGAGAATGTCCACATGCAGCTGCCTGACTGCAGGAAATGACATACAGCTGTTGGCTGGGAGTCTGGTGTGTGTGTGGGGGGGGGGGGGATGTTGGGGGGCTGAATGTTGGAAAGTCATGCCTGACTAAGGGGGATGCAATGCCGTCTGCCATCTGGACGTGAGGCCGGGACTTCTTGGCAGTAATGAACAGAAATTGAGAGCAGATTTTGTGAAGGCTCCGGGAACAGCTCTGCCAGTTGTTGGTGATTTAAGATGCATCCCCCGTGCGCTGAAGAATGCCACGATGAGCAGTCAAACTGACACCGAGTTGTCCTTCTACAAGTCGCTGCAAATTTAATTTGATGACACCTTCTTACCTAATTGATCATAATGTCACCATTTGGTGTAACCCTGTATGCCGGCCCTCCGTTAGATTGGATTAGAAGCCTGCATGACAATGAGGGTGAGAGTGAAGCTTGGTCTCTATGCTGGGGCTGAGTGAGGTGTTGAGGTCTCTCATTTCCTGCTGCAGAAAGCTGCCACTGAGAAAGCTTAGGGGCCGTGATAATGACAACCATGTGGCAAACCATAAGCACACAGGCGTGCAAAATCAGAAGCCTTTATCAAATATTTCTCCTGTTCATGTAGTTTAACACCTGTATTTGAGTAAGGAAGGGCATTGTGTCATTAAGAAGTACTTTGAAAGTAGCTGGTTGTGATCTCAGTGGCAGTTTGCAGTTGTACCGTAGCTTAACCTGCAATAATTCACTTGCATATGTTTTGATGTGTATTCTGTAACAGTCTGTAACAGTCCACTGTTTCACATGGTGGGGGGGGGGGTTGTCGGGCCTGGAAAGTGGTCTCCCTCTAATGGTGGGTTTTCCTCCCATCCCAGGTGGCAATGCTCCCATCCAGGTGATCATCACAGAGACTGGAAATCAGCCCAATTCCCACCCAGTCCAGTGGAATACGCCCCCCTCTGCCCATGTTGTGAAGTACCACCTGAAGTGGAGGCCGGTCAGTCAGTTTGTGCAGCTGACCTGTCTGTCTTTACACTGATTTGATTATTGATAGTTAATTACCAAATAATGCATGTTTTACTGGTTCAAGTTGAAGGCATGCTTTATTTGATATTGGCTAAATTTTATCCATCTGCCGTAAGACCATTACAGTTTCCGGAAATTGCCGTGAGTTAAAGACTAGTGGAAACAGTTAGTTAATGTCAAGATCCACACGGCCAAATTTTTTGAGAGGGTATGGCTTGATATTTGGACCTGATCAATCAGCCTGAGGCAGAAAAGGTGCTGATGAACTCACAGATGAATAGCAGCACTGATTGCAATGCATTTCTGCTCAGTGAGTGAGCTGCTTATGGAACGATGCTCTGGCTTTGCTTGGGGATCCTTTCAGAAAAACACCCGCATTTCCTGGAAGGAGGTTGTTATTCCTGGCCACCTCAATTCCTACACCATTGCTGGGCTCAAGTCAGGTATCACCTATGAGGGTCAGCTGGTCAGCATCCTTCGCAGTGGCCGCCGTGAAGTTACCCGCTTTGATTTCACCACAACCTCAGGCTCCCGTGAGTGTCTACCCCTACATCACCCTTCTGATGAGCATTCCAACTCCCGCTCCTGTATGGGTTTGAGCTTTTGGGATGAGCAGTGAGAGTGACTGAGGATAGTGTAGCTCTTTGTGCCTTTACTCTCCTCAGCATTGACTCGGCCGGTCTCTTGTCCTTATCCAGTGGAAGCCTGGGAAGGTGAGACCACACCACCGCCGCCTGTGGTGGACATCTCCGAGTCTGTGACTGAGATCACCTCCAGCAGCTTCGTCATCTCGTGGGTGTCTGCCTCGGACATGGTGTCAGGCTTCCGAGTCGAGTACGAGCTCAGTGAGGAAGGAGCGACACCCATGATCTTGGGTAAGTCCAATCTGAAAATGGAAGCACTGGCCCTTACTGAGACACAGCAGTGTCCCCACCCCTATTATCCTACATCTATATACAACATATTTGGGTTTTTCCATTTATTCAATCTCCATGGTTCTTGCACTTAATAAGCATCACGTTGTGTGTACCTTGTCTTCTAGACCTCCCACAGACCGCTACATCTGTCAATATCGGGGAGCTGCTGCCTGGCCGCAAGTACACGGTGAACGTGTACGAGGTGCCGGTCCATGGAGACCCCAAACTCATCCTCACCACGTCCCAAACCACTGGTGAGTCCCTGCATTCAATCTGGAAAATCTTTTGTACCTTACGGATTTGCAGTCCAACAATACTTTCAGTCATCAATGATAACACGGACATTTCTTCTGCAGTTCCTGATATGCCAACTAATCATCAGATTGCCGCAATAGATGACACCTCCATCACAGTTGTCTGGTCTAGGCCCCTGGCACCCATCACTGGTGAGCCATACATGACCACTTGCCTATAGCATGCTGGTGGTTTCCATGGAGATCTTCCTTAGCAATCCTCTGTTTGTGTCTTCAGGATATCGTGTGGTGTACACTCCCTCAATAGAGGGTGGCAGCACTGAACTCATTCTGCCTGACACTGATACCTCAGTGACCATGAGTGACTTGAGACCTGGTGTTACATATAACATCAGCATATACGCTGTAGAAGGGAACCAGGAGAGCAAGCCTCTCTTCTTGCAGATCAGCACTGCCAGCGAACCTCAGACAGGTTAGACCTCCTGATGTCTCTGACAAGCTGCCCTAAAATTCACGCTCACACATCAACTGCCTTTCCTTCAAATTTTTCAGACAAATTTTTATCAGTCCTCTAAAGCTCATATCAAAAATAAAGAGATCTGTCAGTCTCTGCCAGAAGTCAGCTAACCACCTTTTTATAAATTGATAATGGAAACATTTTCCCCACAGTTCCTGATACTCCAACTAACCCCTGGGTTACTGCAGTGGATGAGTCCTCCATTACTGTTGTCTGGACAAAGCCTGTGGCACCCATCACAGGTAAGACTTAGTCGACCACTATGCTCTGAAAAGTCACAGATTTCCATGGAAACCTCACCAAACTTCTGTCATTGTGTCTGTTTAGGGTACCGTGTGGTGTACACCCCATCAATAGAGGGTGAGAGCTCAGAAGTCACTCTGCCTGACACTGCAACCTCGGTCACCCTTGGGGACTTGAGACCTGGTCTTACATACAACATCAGCATCTACTCTGTAGAGGAGGATGTGGAGAGCAAACCTCTCTTCATACAGATCAACACCGCTGGGGAACCAGAGAGAGGTACACCTCAACATTCCTATCATCCGCCCTGAAGTGTCTAGCATCTGATTTCTTGAACCTTGAACTTTTCTTCCAAAATCTTCTCACTCATACCTATAACATTCTCTTAATATTTATATTTAAAACCAAGTGCCAGACTGAGTTCAAGAAATCTGTACCTATATTTATGACACTTCTCCCTCAGGTCCTGATACTCCTGCCAATCCTGAAATTGTTGCAGTGGATGAGACCTCTATCACAGTCGTCTGGACTAAGCCCCTGTCTCCCATTACAGGTGAAGCATATTTGACCATCCACCCAATGGCAGCTCATTCATTTCCATGGAAACCTCACCAAACTTCTGTCATTGTGTCTGTTTAGGGTACCGTGTGGTGTACACCCCATCAGTAGAGGGTGAGAGCTCAGAAGTCACTCTGCCGGACACTGCAACCTCAGCCACCCTTGGTGACTTGAGACCTGGAGTTACGTACAACATCAGCATCTATGCTGTAGAGGAGGATGTGGAGAGCAAACCTCTTATCTTACAGGTCAACACTGCCGGTGAACCAGAGACAGGTACACCATGACATTCCAGTCATTCACCCTGAAGTGTTCAGCATGTGCTCTCTCAAAACTTGAATCTTCCCTTCAAAGTCTTTCCACTCATATTATAGCATTACCATAAAATTCATGTCAGAACCAAGGTCTCTGCAAGCTTGAGTTCCAGAAATCTTTCTGTGAATTGATAACAGAGACACTCTTCCCACAGTTCCTGATACTCCAACTAACCCCGAGGTTACTGCCGTGGATGAGTCCTCCATCACTGTTGTCTGGACTAAGCCTTTGGCACCCATCACAGGTAAGACTTAGTCAACCACTATCCTTTGGCAAGTCACTAATTTCCATGTAAATCTGCTCACCAAATCCCTGTCATTGTCTGTTTAGGGTATCGTGTGGTATACACCCCATCAATAGAGGGTGAGAGCTCAGAAGTCACTCTGCCTGACACTGCAACCTCAGTCACACTTGGTGACTTGAGACCTGGACTTACGTATAACATCAGCATCTACTCTGTAGAGGAGGATGTGGAGAGCAAACCTCTCTTCATACAGATCAACACCGCTGGTGAACCAGAAATAGGTACACCTCAACATTCATATTCACCCCGAAATGTCCAACATCTGCGCTCTCAAACCTTGAACTTTTCCTCCAAAGTCTTCCCAATAATACCTATAACACTCTCCTAAAATTCATGTCAGAACCAGGGTCTCTGCTAGCCTGAGTTCCAGAAATTTTTCTGTGAAATGGTAATGGAGACACTCTTCCCACAGTTCCTGATACTCCTACTAATCCCGAGGTTACTGCAGTGGATGAGTCCTCCATCACAGTTGTCTGGTCTAAGCCTTTGGCACCCATCACAGGTAGGACTTAGTCAATCACTATCCTTTGGGAAGTCAGTGATTTCCATGTAAATCTGCTCATCAAATCCCTGTCATTGTCTGTTTAGGGTATCGTGTGGTATACACCCCATCAATAGAGGGTGAGAGCTCAGAAGTCACTCTGCCTGACACTGCAACCTCGGTTACCCTTGGTGACTTGAAACCTGGTCATACGTACAACATCAGCATATATGCTGTAGAGGAGGATGTGGAGAGTAAGCCTCTCTTCATACAGATCAACACTGCTGGGGAACCAGAGAGAGGTACACCTCAACATTCCTATTATCTACCCTGAAGAGTACAGCATTTGATCTCTTAAACCTTGAACCATTCTTCCAAAGTCTTTCCATCCATAATACATTCTCCTGTAATTCTTCCTCTTTCGGCTGCTCCCATTGGGGGTCGCCACAGCAAATCATCTGTTTCCATTACTTCCTGTCCTCTGCATCTTCCTCTTCCACACCAACCACTTGCATGTCCTCTCTCATCACATCTATACACCTCCTCTTAAGTCTTACTCTTTTCAGCATCCCTCTCCCAGCATATCCAGGCTAATGTAAGTGTTCTAAGCATCACCCACTTTGATGTCCAAACCAATGCAATCTCACCTCTCAGGCTTTGTCTCTAAACTCTATATTGTCCGAAAATTAATCACATCACAATTAGAAGTATCTGCCAGACTGAGTTCAGGAAATAAGCTTTACTTAAACCAATGCTGATTACTCATCCCCAGGTACTGGTAGTCCAACACATTATGAGATTGAGGAGGTTGAGGAGGTTGATGGGACCACCATTAGGATAACCTGGTCTAAGCCTTTGGAACCCATCACAGGTAATGCATAGTTGACCACTTGCCCCTGGCAAGCCAGTGATTTTCCACGGAGACACTTCTCACCAATTCTGTTTGTTTAGGATATCGTGTGGTGTACACTCCTGGCGGGAGCTCACAGGAGGGAGGGAGAGATATCCTTCTGCCCGAAACTGCTACTTCAGTGACCCTGGATGACTTGATACCTGGTATTACATATAACGTCAGTATCTACACTGTAGAGGAAGATGGGGAGACCAAGCCTCTCTTTGTGCAAGTCAACAGTACCGGCGAACCTAAGACAGGTACAAACTGATGTTTCAGATGAGCTATACTTACATCCACCATCAAACATCCTATTTGTGCCTCTCAAACCCTTAACTTCCCGTTAGCATTTTCCCGCTCAAACTTCCTATAGTTTAATGCATCCAGATTAAGATTTCTGCAAAAGAAAGAGTTTAGGAAACCAGGCAGGAATTTTTTTTTGCTGAAGGTCAACTTCATTAAGTGCTTCAGAAGACATGATTCAGATTTAGCAGTTGACTTGGCTTGCGATAAGGAATTCAGTTTAATACAACCAGTTGGGTTGCACTTTACTCGTTCATATTCAGGCCAGCTTTGTGAGCATGTGACAGCCTTACATACTGTAATGGCATTCCAGCTGACTCGTCATGCACTTGGTCCCCTGCTGCCTGAGAACTCTTTACCGACAGCTTTAGCCTTGAAGCCCTTTTCCAGAGCATGACGGCTTTGTTTTCTATTCAGCTGAAAGAAGGGATTCAGTCTAGTTTTTCATAAGCTTCTGAAAGACCACTGAACTGAAGCAAATGTTTGTGTTTCCTCACGGGCGGGGAGTCTTTATTTCCGTGTTTAAGTGGTATTGGGTAGTAGTACAGACCTGACTTGGGACAATTTGCATGTAATGGATGAAACTATGCTTTAGTCTTTTGATTTAGTCTTACGTAATTGCAGGTCATTGTACTGGATTTGGGGGGGGGGGGGAATAGCCAATCATTGTACTTGCCATTTTTAACTTCTGACCCCCCACCAGCATGTTAGGCTTGACATTTGCCCACTTCCTTCCCCCAGACGTGGTCCCATCCCCGACAGACCTGGAGTTCTATGATGTGACTGACGTGAAAATGGTCATCTGGTGGAGAAGTCCTCTGAGAGAGGTGCCGGACTTCCGTGTGACTGTCAACCCAGTGGGGCGTGACGGTCCCCAATCACAGGAGCTCCAGCTGACTGTGACGCGTAACACATACGTAGAGGTCACCTCCCTCAAGCCTGGCACCCTCTACCGCATTCACGTATACACTGTCAGCAGTGGGGCAGAGAGCAAGCCATTGATTGGAGAACACGCAACAAGTAAGTGACAACCAGGTGAATCATTGGGGGAATCACATCTTTAGCATCTCCTATTGGCTGTTCAGTAGTCAATACTCAGCAACCTCATCTTACGGAATGCTTCTACAGTAGGCTTCTTCCCCAAGGCCTGCTCACATCACATCTAATCGCTCTTTTTTTTCCCCCCTCAGAGTTGGATGCACCGACTAATGTTGGGTACAGAAATGTGACTGAGGGCAGTGCCGTCATTATCTGGGGTGCTCCGCGTGCCACCATCTCAGGCTACCGCCTGTTCCTGAGCGTGGAAGGCAGCAACGTCAAGCAGCTGAAGATTCCCCCACGTCTGTCCCGGTACACCCTGCTGAACCTGCGGCCAGATACCCAGTACACCGTCACACTGCATTCCGAGAAGGACAGTGTGTTAAGTGAGGGTGTCAACGTCACCTTCACCACTGGTGAGTCTACTTAAAAAGCTTATAGCACACACAAGCCTTCTTGAGCTCCATTAAACTAGCCTAAAATTTGAGTTTTGGAGCACACACAGATTAACGATAGAATAAATAGCTCTCTGAGCAGGTTTATTTCCCACCCTCAGGCCGACCCATGAGAAATGCTCCTCGCTTCACTACTGACATCACCAGTTCCTCCATAACTATCTCCTGGAGTCCCGAGCGCAAGGTTGGATACAAGGTAACTCAGCTGCTCCTAACGATTTTCTGTTTTGGTCTTGAACTTTCACACCTAAAACGGCTTATGGAACCCGGGTTGCCTCACTAGCTTCACTAACGTCCCACCTATTGCACACCCCAGCTGACGGTGAGGCCGAGTCTGGGCGGCGAAGCCCCCAGGGATGCGACATCAGACACCGGCACCATCTACGTTTCCGGATTGACCCCCGGCATTGAGTACACCTATAGTATCCAGCCCGTTATCAATGGCCAGGAGCAAGGCACCCCAATCACACGTCGCGTTGTCACACGTAAGTAGCAGCCGTTAAAATCTGGGCCTTTAGTCATCGGTGTAGGTAGGAGAATATTTTTTAAATATTCAATTATGAATTAAAAATAATTGTATGGTTTTATGGCTAACATTTTAAGGTTTGAATACATTTTAAACTATGACCATATGGTTTTGAAGTCCTCTTACAGACATTATTACATTCATGCGACCATAAACATCAATCCCTGACATCAGTCCCTCAGGTCAGTGTCATGGCACTAGACAGACTAACAGCAATTACTTGTCATGTTCTCTCCCCGTCACTCCACCTCACAGCCCTGTCCCCGCCCACTGACCTGACTGTGACACCCAAACGAGACACCGGCGGCCTGAAAGTCCAGTGGACCGACGCCGAGACTCCCGGTAAATATTGACTGTCCACCCCGTCCGCCACCCACACAGTCTCGCCGTGCGACTTGAACATCATCACAGCCGACTTTTCCCATTGGACAATGTGTCTTTGGAGAACAGACTGGAGGGCAGCAAGTGTTTGTTTGGGAACCCGTTGGCTCAGGAGTGTCCAGTTGATCGATTTTATAATACCAGACAGAAATACGTCAAAATGAAACGTGGAAGAGGAATGGTGTAAAGAGTTCACATACATCTGTGAACAAGTGGGGGGGGGGGGGGTCTTAGGTCTGAGTTTAAGTCTTAGTCTCGTATTTTTGTTGGCTAGTTAGTTTGTCTGTTCAGGTGTGTTGGAAATGGGGGGGACAGGGGCTACCCCCCCTTCCCAAAATTAAATAAATAATCTAGAGCATGTTACTTATCTTTCATTATGAATCCATGCGTTTCTACGGCCATTTCACTGCACATGCAGAGCACGAGATTGAAACATATACCTACGACAGCAAAACTCAATTTATAATATGGATCAGTTACTTTTTTTGTCTGTTTAGTTATGAAACTGCACCATAAGCAGCGCTAGTCTTATTTTAAATGATGAAATCTTTATTATTTTTAAAATTAGTTTAAAATCTTTCTTAAATCGCATCCGTTCGCAGTGTGCCAGACTGTTGCAAAGTCACGATACACGTTGCGGTAGAACCTGCCCAGAAGTTCGTCATTTTGCCCTGCATGGAGTATTGTCATGTGACCATCGTTCTTTTCTCCCAGGCATCACAGGCTACCATGTGACCTGCACCCCAACCAGTGACCAGAGGGGTAACTCCCTGGAGGAGTTTGTGAGCCCGGAGAAGAACTCCTGCATTTTGGAGAACCTCACCCCTGGCCTGGAGTACAATGTCAGTGTCTTTACGCTGAAGGACCGCATGAAGAGCGTGCCCGTGTCCACCATAGTCACCCCAGGTAGGACAGCTCTATAGGACTTAAAGCTCCTTCTCTCTTAATCTAATATAGGCAGAGTTCAACATAATTCACCAAAATTTGTACTTCAACAATCTTTAAATGATGCCATATATATACAACCTCTCCCCAGGTTACAGTGGGGTTACATTCTGATAAACCAATCGTAAGGCGAAAATGTATTTTAATACAGTACATCCAATCTAACAACTATCATAGCCTAGCCTAGCCGACCTTAATCATGCTTAGAACACTTACATTATCCTACAATTGGGCAAAATCATTATCACAAAGTCTATTTTATAACAAGGTGTTGAATATCTTGTGTAATTTATTGAATAATCATACGCATCGTAAAGTAGAAATATCGTAACATGGACCATTGTAACCCAGGGGGCGCCTGTAATTGCTCTTCTGACATCTAAAAAGGTTCCCTGATTTTTCCGTCCCACAGCGTGTCAGACCAGCAGTGACCTTGTTCCTCAGCATTAACGTGTGGTTCCCTGATGGGGTCTAGCATAACCGATCCTCATAGGTCCTCTTCCTACCCCGTGCTGTCGCTCTAACCCCCTCTTCCCCACTAGATGTCCCTCAGCTTACTGATCTCAGCTTCGTCGACGTCACCGACACCACGATTGGCCTGAGGTGGACTACGCTGAACCACACCTCCATCATGGGCTACCGCATCACAGTGGTGGCCGCGGGGGAGAGCATCCCTATCTACGAGGACATGGTGGAGCCCACGAGGGGTTATTTCACGGTGCACGGCCTGGAGCCTGGCGTCGACTATGACATCAGTGTCACCACTGTTACCGACGGCGGAGAGAGCGAGCCCATCACGCACACACAGCATACCGGTGAATAGCCACTCTTGGTTTTATGAAGGCTTTGGGGTTTAGATTGGATTTACTAGTACCTGTATATGCAGATCATTATTACTTCAAACACAATCCCAAAGCCATAACAGGATCGTAATCCTCCACTGACGTCAGTATGCATAGACTGTACAAAGTTGTGGGAACGTGTCACCCTGTCGTGTTTTAGATGAGACCCAGACTAAGAGTGATTTCCTCGTTTGGGCATCTGGTGCTGCTTTGGGAACATTTAATTTGTACCAGGTGCCAGGGATTCCGTAATCAATGCCGATTTCTAGCCGTTTTTTTCTTGCTACGTTGCCCCCCACGCCGGTGTGACGTTCACCAGACAGGCCAATTCCTAAATGCCGCCTGCGGCTTCTCTCCTCCAGCTATTCCTGCTCCCGCTGAACTGACATTTGACGAGGTGGGCCCAGACACATTGAAGGTGACCTGGACTATCCCGTCTGTCCCCAAACCGAGAGACATCACCCACTTTGATGTCCGTTACCATCCGAGCAACAACGTCGACGACATCATAGAACGCCGCGTCCGCGGGGACAACAGCATCATTCTGCGGGGTGAGCAGACACGCAGCAACAGGCTACGGTGCTAATGTTGCTATGCAACTATGCCTGTCTTGGGTTTAAGATACCTGCTTCAAAACTGCATTGGCTTACGTGCTAACTTTCATACTCAATACTAACCGGAAGGAGTAAAGTGTAGAAGCTTAGTGTACTCCTGTCCTCCTACAGTCCAAAAACATACTTTAAGTAAAATTGTGTCTCTGAATTACCAATTTGTATGAGTGTGTTTGCCGAGTCCCCGAGTTTCCAGGAAAAGGCTCTAAGCTCACCGGTCTTTCCACCAGTCTTTCCATTACAAATAATGGAAAGGAGATCAATGCAATTCATTAAAGCATTTGCAGTAACACCTTCTATGAATACCATGTTTATAAGAATCTATGAACACATTCATAACACATTATAATACATTGATAAAGCATTATAAACATGGCTATAAAATTTTATAAAAAGGCATAACACATTATAGCCATGTTTATTGTGCGTTATGAAGGCTTTATGAAACTATCATCTATAATTCACTATAGATACCTTCATAAAGCAGTACAGAGCATCCTTTATTCTTAAATCGACCATTGTAATGCATTATGAAGGTAACTATAGTGCATTATAAATGCTAGCTTTAAGCAAAGTGTTACCACATTTTCTTGCTCAAACCTGACCTGACCTGACCTAACTCCTGCTTTTCCAGACCTGCTACCAAACACGGAGTACTTCGTGAGTGTGGTCTACATCTACGAAGAGCGTGAAAGTCTGCCAGTCACGGGAACTCAGAGAACAGGTGAGCCTTAGTTTCTGGGAAATCCGCTCCAGGCATCTGGAGCTGTAATCGCTCACCTCATGGGATAATAGAACCTAAAGCCTCTTGTTCTCCTCTAGCACTGGACTCCCCTACTAGTCTGGACTTCTCAGAGGTGTTCACCAATTCCTTCACCATCCACTGGCTGGCCCCTCGAGCCTTAATCAGCGGCTACCGGATCCGCTATCAGATGGCCAGCGGTGGCCGTGCCAAGGAAGAGCGGCTACCTCCAACTCGGAACCACTTCACCCTGACAGGCCTGGCACCCGAGACGGAGTACATCATTAACATCTACGCCAGGACCGGCCATGTGGAGAGTCTGCCCCTCACCGGTCGCCAGGCAACGAGTACGAGATTCTCAATGTTCGTTAAATAGTGCAGTGTATTCAAGAAGCCATAGTTCTACACAGTTTCCCATTTATATGTCTGGACATCTTATTTAAAAAAAATCTGTTATTTTGCCCCTGCCGCTAGCCTTTAGATGAGAAAGACTCGTTCAGAACCTTTTGTTGTTTCTGGTTCATTTTTTATCGTTGATTTTCTTCTCGCAGTCTCTGATGCCCCGACTGACCTGAAAGTGGTCTCCTCAACTCCCACAAACATTTCTATCAGCTGGGATTCCCCTCCTGCCACTGTCAGGTACTACAGGATCACCTACGGGAAGTCAGGTCGGTATATCTGCGCGCCTTGGTCTGCCATTAGCATTAGCGTCGTCAACGTCGGGGCATGCCGATCACACTTGGCGCTTCGTCCCGCATGCCTCAGGAGGTCACGAGGCGCCAAAGGAGTTCACCATCCCTGGCTCCCAGTCGACGGCCATGATCCAGAACCTGCAACCCGGCACAGCCTACACCATCACGGTTTACGCTGTGACGGGACGAGGGGACAGTCCAGCCTCCAGCATACCCATTCACATCACTCACAAGACTGGTACAGAATTTATTTGGTCATGGTCACCTAGTCATTCTTAACATGGTTATAAGCATTTATATGATGATTTAAACTTTGAAGCCCGTGGAGTGGGTGTAGCTTGCTCTGTCGCTGCCTGGTTGAACCAATTAAATAATGAGTAAAATACAGATTATTTTTCCCATTAAGGTAATTACTGTAAAGCAGTGTTTCGCAACCCGGGCCTCGGGGAACCACAAACAGTCCACATTTTTGCTCCCTCCCAGCTCCCTGCTAGACAGTCCACATTTTTGCTCACTACCAGGAGCTAGGAGGGGGCAAAATCCTGGACTGTCTGAGGGTTCCCAAGGACCAGATTGGGAAACTCTCCCGTCAGGTGACATGATGTGCACGTGTTCCTTTTCCTTAGCTGTGGACGCTCCCTCGGGGATGGAAGTGACAGATGTGAAAGACACCTCCATTACAGTGCGCTGGAACCCCGCCCAAACTCCCGTCACAGGATACCGGGTCACTGGCACCCCCAAGAGTGGCCACGGCCCCTCCTTTTCCGAGGTGGTTGCCCCTGGTAAGAACAGAATTTTCCTTGGTGAATATGGTGGGGGGGTGGCCACAATAATAATGTGAATGATGATGAATTAAAAATAAATGACTAACACTATACTGTTAGTCTAGCTATCACTCCGTGTAGGGGTCAGGGGTGTCCTGATAATCCCCTCTTGTGTTGCAGACCAGACAGAATTCACCTTCTCGGGCCTGATGCCCACTAATGAGTATAAGCTGAGTGTATATGCTCTGGGCCAGAATGGAGAGAGTCCACCATTGGTTGAGACTGCAGTGACAAGTGAGTGAACCCATAGTAACGCAACATGTTGGGCCGTAGGACATGCAAAATCAAAGCTGGGAGAGTCTGGCCCCTGTTTGCTTTCTGACCACCCCCCTATTACCGGACAGCTGTGGACCGGCCCAAAGACCTTGGCTTCTCTGACGTGGAGACCACCTCTATGAGGATCAGCTGGGAAAGCCCAGATGGGGTGGTGACATCATATAGGGTGTTCTACTCCAGTCCAGAGGAGGGTGAGCGAGAGCTGTACCCCGCTCCCCACGGGGAAGACGAGAGCGCTGAGCTACACGGCCTGCGTCCTGGGACAGAATACACCATCAAAGTTATCGCCGTACACGACCAAATGCTGAGCACACCCTTGGTGGGGACACAAGCCACAGGTACGTCCTCAAGGCACATTCATGTTGTGTCCACAGAAGTGGAATTTGTCATGTGCTGTTTTGCTGCAGTTGAGTGTGATCACTTACTTGTTTACAACCCCCCCTCCCCCAATTGTAGCCATCGCTGCCCCCACCCGCCTTGAGTTTTCCCATGTGGGTCCCACCACCTTCACCATCACGTGGGCGGCTCCCAAAGCAGAGCTGTCTGGGTACCGTGCGGTTGTTAACCCCAAGAACAGGAATGGACCACCCAAGGAGTTCAACCTGGCTCCAGATACCACCCACGTCGTGGTACCAGGACTAATGGTAATTCTTCAAGTGTGTCCCTATTATAGATGTGTGTGGCTCGGCGGGCTATGACCCTGTGCCTATCATCAGGAAATTGCTGGTTCATGCCCAGCCCTGGCAAAATAGGCAATATCCCCCTGGCCCTTAACCCCTGGGATCAGTGTGTGTCATGTGTGCCCCATGTAGAGCAAAATGACACAAAGCAAAACAGAAACTTTCCCCACAGCGATTAAAAAAGTATCACTATATAAACTCCTGAAGGGCCTTGATCAAATGATCAAATTTAAACCAAAGATATTATTGTCTCAATACTTTAAATGTACAAGGTGGGGAAAAAAAGACATTTTCCTTTCTAGCACTGATTTCGACATCATCTTGTGAAGGCACTGTTCCTCTGTGGATTTACTCTGTGATCTTCTCCCTGCACCTGCAGGTCAGCACAGTATATGAGGTCCAGGTCTATGCCCTGAAAGACACCGTCACCAGCCGTCCTGTCCGGGGGGAGATCACAACTCTGGACCGTAAGTCTGCGTCATAGGCCCATATCAACATCTGTCTGCAGTTGTATCAACGTTGGCACTGCCAGTAACCCTGTCTATTTAAGGTCATCACCCATAAGCCCATGTGCTGCTCCCTCTTAAATCCTTTCTTTTGTTGGCACAGATATCAGCCCCCCTCGCCGTGTGCGCATCTCAGATGTCAAAGACTCTTCCATCACTCTCACATGGCGCTCAAAGACTGAGACCATCACTGGCTATCTCATCGAAGCCAAGCCCTCCAGTAGTGGCCATCTGCCCCTTCAGTGGAACGTTCCGGCCCAAGAGCGTGCCTACACCATCACCGGTATGCTCTGACTACATGGTCATTCCATGGCCATAATCCCCTGGTCAGTTGACACAGGATCGCTAAGAGTTCTTCCTTTCACACCCCCGATTACTGTCCTTCAGGTCTCCAGCCTGGTACCAACTATGTCATTCAGATCTACACGCTGAACGGTGCTTCTCGCAGTGATCCCTTCACCCTCACTGCAACTACAGGTACAAGCCCCATTGGGTGTGCAGAAATGATGAGATTGCATGACTTATTGTTGCAATCACATTTTCCTTTGATGTATGGTAGCTAGAATTATTCAATGTTTCTCCCAAACTGAAACCCAGTTATAGTGCTTGTAACAATATGTAACAATATGTTCACAGTTAAACCAGTGGTGGAACCTCCTACCGACATCCGTTTCATCTCGCTGACACCCATCAGCATCTCGTTCGCTTGGGAGCCTCCTCGAACCCGCATCACCGGCTACTACATCACCTACCAGGAGTTGGGAGGAACCCCCAAGGAGCTCACTCCTCGTCCGCACGCTGGCATGAGCTATGCTACAGTCAGCGGTGTGTGAGCTCGGGGATTCCCCATGTTAGTGCTGTAACATAGCTGCTCATGTAAAGGGTCTTTCCTATCTCACCATGTGTTTTGCTCTTAGGTTTGAAACCTGGCACTGAATACATCATCAGAATCACTGCCTTGCAAAATGGACAGAGCAGCATCGCCCTGGTGGGCAAGGCCACAACCCGTAAGTGCACTAAATATTCATGTTCCTACACACTGACAAAAACAGTCCGCAAAATCCCCAGTATCACTCCTGGTGTGGTAAGACAAAGGTTTGTATCTTTTCTTTCACTGGAAGAAAAGATTTTTTGCTGGAAAGCGAAGCTTTTAACCAGAATGCTCCAGCAATGGCTTTGCCTTTAGGATGCTTTCTCATGATGCTCTGACTTTTGAATGGTGTTGAGATTCAAAAGAAACCACAGCAAGCCTATGCGGCAGCCAGTTAATGGATCCACCAGTCAGGTAGACCTGTTGGATCCATTGCCCCCACTAGCAGCCACCTAGCTAACACAGGACCCTCTTAACCCGCTTGCTCCTAACCCATCTCTTCGCTAGAACTGGACATGCAGCTTCCAGTGCCTGAACTCCCTGTGCATCGCCTCCCTGGCCCTGGCATCCTCGACGTGCCCGAAGACACTACCGATTTTGAAGACAACCACGTGCAGCTTCTGGGCACCAGTGGACCAGAACTCCCCGGCCAGCACGGCCAGCACATCTACACAGAGTACCAGAGCCTGGGCGGCAACGGGCAGCACCCGCTAGCACACGGCCGCCAGCCACTGGTCTATGTGCCCCAGGCGGGCCCCGACGGGGTTCGCGTACCCGTGGTGCGGCTCGATGAGGACCCCGTGCCAGGCTTTCCCTTGTCGTTTGCAGAGAATGATACAGGGATCCCTCAACAAGCGCTAACACAAACCACCATCTCCTGGAGGCCACTGCAGCACAGCGCTGCCTACGTCGTGTCCTGCTATCCTCGCACCAACCTCGAAGAGAAGATGTTCCAGGTAAGTGTCCTCCTATCCCAAAACCTGCATCCTAGGACAAGCCCTTTCCTTCGTGAGGGATGTGAGCCCCTGGAAAACATTGGGAAATATTGCTCTGAAAGCAGTGCCTGAACATCAGGCCCAATTGTCTTCCAAATGAACTCCACAGTAGAAATTTAGTGAAGTTTTTCAGGTGCATTCTGGAAGCAAATTAGATTTGGTGTTGCCTTCTCTGAGGTTAATAGAACTTGGTATTACTGATACAGCCAGAATATCAGCACTTCCCATGATCTCCCCATGACTGTGTTTAGTTTGGACAGAGTCCAAGCGCACTAACGTCAGTTTGAGTCTGAGGATTAGAAAGGCCCACCTACCACTTGGAAAGAGCCAGAAGTTCAGCAGTGTTGAGTGACCACGTATAGTTCCTTCCACCACAGAGGGGGATGTTTTGTTTGACAACATGAGCAATGCCTTTGTCGGGACTTTCCAAAAACTCCATGGGACACGGGTGAGAGCAAAAGACCATTCTGACGCCTCCTACGCGTCTGTTCCATCAGATGCGTCTCCCGGGGACGGCCACCAGCGCCACGCTCATCGGCCTGACCTCAGGGGCCTCATACAACGTCATTGTGGAGGCCCTTAAGGGATCTCTCAAGCACAAGATCCTTGAGGAGATTATCACAGCAGGCAACTCAGGTAGACACCCATTTCAGAGGAGCTTATCCACGTTGCAGACTCATTTAGAACAACTTACTGATATAAAGAATGATACTACACAGTATGGTCAGACTGTGGGCAAATGTCAGTTTGTTTTAACTTGATCCCTCTACGAAACATGCAGTTCCAGAGGACGTGCCTTCTAGCACCGACGTGTGCTACGACACCTTCACGGCCACCTACCACGATGTGGGCGCGGAGTGGGAGCGCATGTCCGACACCGGCTTCAAGCTGTGGTGCAAGTGTCTGGGTCTGGGCAGCGGCCATTTCAGATGCGACTCGTCCAGTGAGTCACTGCTCTGTCCAGCTCAGCTGCTCTATTATTATATTCATTGTAAAATTCCAGAATAAAAGGTAGTTTTCTGGTTCCATTTGCCTTTTTGGTGCCAAAGCTCCTCTTTGTTTCACCAATAACATTCAGGAGTGAAGCACTGCTTAAAGAATTAATGGTAACACTTTACTTGAGGGGGCACAAATAATATAGTATCATGCTATTACTTATGTATTAATTAACCACAAACTAAGTATTAGTTACATACAGATCTCATGTTAATTCATCATTAGTGAATCGTAATATTTGTGAACTACTGAAGGAACAAGTTATTCATTAATGAATCGTGATGCATCTTTTCTCAAGTAGCTACTATATTTGTTCACGATGTGTTCATGATTTGTACTTCTCTAGTAACTGAGTTATTACTAAGTATTTGTGCCCCATCCAGTAAAGTGCCACCAAATTAATCTTATTTCGGTCACACTACTTGAGGGGACACAAATAATGTATTACTACATGCTTACTTAATGCATTATTTAACCAGTAACTAAGTGTTAGGTACTGATCCCATGCTTGTTCACTTAACCATTAACAACAGTCCATGTATTCCATTCAGGAACATGTTAGTTAACAGTTAATGAATTTGTTAATTAGCTAATATAGTTCCTGCATGGAATACATGAACCGTCATATTTGATTAATGATGAACCAATGCTCAATTAATGGTTAATTAATGCAGTAAGTAAGTGTGTCCCCTCTAGTGAAGTGTTACACTGCAGTAGAGTCCCACTACCTGCTTCACCCGATTGACCTAAATGTGTTTTGCCCCCGCCCCCCGCCCTTCCTCAGAGTGGTGCCATGAAGGTGGTAACAGCTACCGCATTGGTGAAAAGTGGGACCGCCAGGCTGAGGATGGTCACATGATGAGCTGCACCTGCCTGGGTAACGGAAAGGGCGAGTTCAAATGTGAACCACGTAAGTTCTCCTTCGGCGGTCACAGCCGTGTGACAGTACGTGCTTAATGATGCCACTTAATGACTGCTGCTTAACTCTGAATGCTTCACAGACGAGTCCACATGCTACGATGAAGGAAAGGTGTACCGTGTGGGGAATCAGTGGCAGAAAGAGTATCTAGGAGCCATTTGCACTTGCACTTGCCATGGTGGACAGCAGGTAAGGGGTCCTCCATACCACTAGAGGGCAAAGTCATTTTATCAGCATGGGCTTCGGCCTCCACCGGGGCTCCAATTGGTTGATTTTTTTTTTCCTTGATCCCCCCACCCACCAGGGATGGCGCTGCGAGAACTGTAGACGGCCAGGCGGAAACGTGGATGGGATCCTGGTGCAACCGGTGAACTCTGATGCATTCCACCGCTACAGGGAAAATATCCTACGCAAAATGGTAAATTTGCTGCCTGCCAGCCTGGCTTTCTCACTCCCAAACACCCATAACTCCCAATTCGCCTGTTAAGATTGACTCTTAGAGACTCTCCTCTCTTTCACATGCACTAGTATGTTTAATAGATGCTTCTTCGAGCTCAAGTGTCCTACAGTAACTGGGAATAGCAACCAACCTTCAGTATCTGCTCGTGTGTCTAATGGGTTTGCTACCTGCTGTCTCTCATGCAGAACATCCAATGTCCCATTGAGTGCCTCAGACCAGAGCTGCTTGTAGAAACCCAAAATCCTGAGCAGTGAAGGAGTTCATCCCCTCCAGCTGCTCCAGTCACACCAAGGAGACCCACATGAAGGCCTCTGCCTCAGCTGTCGTGCCTCACCCCTCTGAACAGCGACCTGTAGCTGCTTCTCTGCCTCAGCTGTCGTGCCTCACCCCTCTGAACAGCGACCTGTAGCTGCTTCTCTGCCTCGCCACGCTGTGACCAAAGACTCCCGCAAAGCCGCTCTCCTCCTGCACGTATTTTTGGTTTTGTGATTTGTGCGCGTTTCTCTTTGGTTGGGTGTGTGTGTCTGTGTGTGTGTGTGTGTGTGTGTGTTTTCCTGCTATTTGAGTCACTTTATTGGTGGAAAAACATTCCAAGTACCATGTTTTTTTTTTTGGCAAGCTGTTCCCCATAGGTTACTTGCTAGAACTGGGGTCTGCAATTCTGATCCATGAGTCGTGCCCCAAGCATTGACTTCACCATATATGGTCATCTAGTCAAAGCATCAGTCCCCTCCCCCAGAGAGCCAGAACTGTCCATGCAGTGTTTTAAAGTAACTGTAAAGTCTTAATGTCTACCTGTCCAGTATTACTGTCACGTCTCTTTTGTACTTCAAGGCAACACAAATCAAACATTGTTCTAGAAAATGAATTCCGAATGAGTTTTTGGGGTTTTTGCGGTTGCAGATTTGTGCATCAAAATGTTTCTGTCCGGGCCCCTGTTCACCAAAGATGGAAATCTCACCATTTGTGTCACTGAGTAAAACTAAATTGTCAACATTTTTAAGAACTGCCTTTAATAGCTCGTTTTATTTATCCCTTTTATTCTAAACATTTGTGATTCTGCAAATTTTGAGGTGTAAACTTTTTATTTTATTTTTATACTATAGTTGCCGAATCTTTACTACTGTGGAGAAAAAAAAATCCTTTTTAATAAAGTTTCTCTAAGAATGTTAACGGGAGTTCGTCTGATTGTCACACAGCTCAATGAGCCAGATGATCACGGACAATTTAATAACCGTAAAACATGGATGTTTCTACTTTTTCGTTTCAACTAAAATGCATTGGGCAGGATTCCACAAAACCCTGGATTTTCTCATCTTTGGCTGGGGTCAAATCTTACCTGGAAATTGTTCACGCAATGGGGAAAGAAATAATTAGAGTAAAGTGCCATATAAATTCAAGTTCCCTCTTTTCCAGTTCCTGGTCTTGAAAAAGACTACAATTGCTTATGCATGTGTCTGGCACATACCATTCATGTTTCAAGTATTGGTAATTCTTGTTCATTTTTTTTAATTCGAAGAGGCAGCCAGGGGAAATGTGCACATAACGCAATACTGAGCTCTAGTTACACAAGTCAGACTTTAACTGTGGGGAATATTTCAAACCCCCGTTTCTAGTGGCTGGATATCTGCAAAACCAACCCTGCCACCAGGTTTTGTCCAGCAACAGGAGCAACGAGCCAGCGAAGATGTCATTCGGGTGTCACATGACTTCAGCTCAGCCAATGAAACATGGTCAAAATCTGAGGGGAGCACTTGTAACTGAAGACTTCACACACAAAGGCCATGACTGTATACACACTCAATAAAAATGACTTATGAGCTGTCATGCATATTGTCCAGCAAAAATGTCATTTAGCTATGAAAGGCAGTTGCAACCAAATCTTTGCTCAGAGAATGAAAATCCCCATTGCAGGCTTTTATGAATGAAAAAAGCTACCATTGCCGCACTTCTCTGACTGGTGAACATTATTCTTGTAGCTTTTCCCAGTTAACCCAGTTTACATGAACTCCACAGCACCACTAATTCAGCCAACCGTGGCTGTATCTTGGCTAGAACACGTTATCAGATAACTCATCCAAGACAAGGCAATTCAAATTCAGTGCTCTGGGCTCTGATGCAATCATGCTGGAAAAAGGTGAATCATTTATAATTCTCTAAAGATGTTTAGCTGAAAACGGACCAGTGGAAACAGAGGATCCTTCCTAACACTCTGTTAATAATGCCTGTATTAGGAAATAGCCAACTAGACACTACAGACATTGAACATCCCAAAAGGAAAGCTGACCCCACGTTTCCAGGGGGGGTATTTACGTTGAGGACACTGAGAAGCAGAAACATATGTTTGGAACTGAGAGTCTAAGATAAAGCATTACTCTCTCACAAGCTTGACGGTCCATTTTACTGGACCAGCACATGCAGAAATAGCCTTATATTACCCAGCATTCCAGTGGGGCATCCCAAACTGGCCCCAACGCCTTATTATTCCAGAAAACACCGTCAAAGCAACCAAGTGGAGGGAAAATGTCAGATATGCTTGCCTTTGACTGGACGGGGTGGTCATTTCCTGGGAAACACAGTGCAGTGTGGGTAACAAAAACAGGGCTGGTCTCATTCTCAGCCCACGAGAGACGTGGGGGCGGCGGCATGCCTTAGTGGACACGGAGTGCTATTATACAGGGGGTCAGAGTTGCGCCACTGACAAGCCCCCCCATGAGTCCTACACACATCTCACAAGGGAAAAGTTCAGATGATTATTTTTGGGAAGCAGAGTCATGATGCAGAAGGGGAAAAAAATTACGACCTCAGCTTACTGGAACATTGACAGTGACCTCTAGTGGCCATTCAATAAAAAAATAAAATTACTTTAACATTTTGTGATTACAACAGGTAGAGCCTGGCTTTTCATGATTTTTATCTATCCCTTTGCAGTTTAAAGCTGCTGCAAATATCACGCCACGTCCCACCCCCAGCCACAACACAACTGGGGGAATCCTCTCCTGTTCTCATTAATTTCCGGTGCGGTCTGTTCTAACATAATTTATAATTAATCTTGAAATATTTTTGTATTTTCAGTATCGCAGTATTCTATTTTTCAGAATATTTGTGTACTGTGTACTTATTAAATCTGTTCACACTATATTTACTTTGATTGCACCTATGTACCGTCTTTGCACCTTGAGTGATTGGCACTACATGCAGGTCCTTTTACTAAATGCACCAGAATATCCCTCTGGGATCTATAAGGTCTATCTTAAACTTAACCTTCTGTTTTCATGTGCACCATATTAGCCTAAACTACATTCTTTCTTACACTAATAAGACAAGCACAATAGAGGAGTGTTTGTGAATCCAGGAAATTTATTAATTATTGCTTAGCACAGATTACCGACGCTCTACAGAGGGTCAGAGGTGCTCCTCTAAGGCGGAGGAGAAGATGTGGAACCTTGCTGATCTGGGCGTGTCTTGTTATCCGGTTCTCTGCCAGCACCAGATCTCCTGAAAGGTTTCATAACACACGGCTGAATGCTCCCTGACCTTCAGTCCAGCTCCGCCTCATGCAGACCTGCATGCCTGATGCCAGTCAGCCCTGCTCATTTCTGTATCCTCAGATAACTACGAATGGTAGCTCTGCAACCCAGAGCCCCACAGATTTACAATTGTGCTGACCTGCCAGTGGTGGGTGGCAGCGCGATGGCTCTGGGGCGCGCGGTGAGGATCCACTCGCCGTGATACGCCTCCTTCATCAGGTTCTGCAGTGTGTTCAGCAGCACGTCCTCAGTCAGGTCGTGGAACTCAGGCAGCCTGTAGGGGGCAGCAAACCCTGCTTGTAAACAGGCTTAAACTCCCTTACCCAGAATGCCGTGCTGAGGCTTAGCTCCATCCCCACACCTGCGGATGATCTCCTGGATCTGCAGGTCCCGATCCTGCTGGGTCTCGGATACAGGGAGATGGGCCTGTGGCTCCATGCTGAAGCCCGGCCCCTGTACGGATCCCCCAGGTCTGACAGGGCCATTGGGAGGAGGGGGCTCGGATGGGGGGGGTGGCCGTGGGTGCTGAAGCTGCATCGTACGCAGCTGGGAGAAGTAGGGGACGGGTTCATTAAAGCTCTCCACCAGGGACTGATGGAACAGAGGGTCTTCCAGCAGGCTCCTATAGATAGATAGATAGATCGATAGATCGATAGATAGATCGATAGATCGATAGATCGATAGATAGATAGATAGATAGATAGATAGATAGATAGATAGAAATGTGGAGTTTATCAATTCAATTAAGTTACACAGTATGCATAGCTTAAGTGTTGGAAGAGTTTAAGATAAAAGACACAGGATGCACAGGTGAAATATCTCAGACAGATAGGTAAGTGTATTAGAATAATCCCCAATATGCAACAGAAGCTGGAATAGTGATACACGCACATAACTGTACTTAATGATACACATGCACACACAGGCCTGGGCTCACACAGGCGTTCTCAGCCTCTGGTTCTGGATCAGCCCGTGAATGAGGGTTACACGAGGTGACAGGCCATACCTGATGATGCAGGTGAGGACGTGCGTGACCACGTCTCTCTCCGAGCTGAGGGGGGAATCTGTCAGGGGGGGGCGGCTCTCGCAGGCCTCGGCGCCGGAGCGCTTGGAGCTGCTGGAGCAGCAATGGCAACGTCAGGCGCGGGAGGGGCGAACCTCTGACTCACCGAGCGAGGGCGCCATTCCGTCGCGGGAGGTGCGTACCTCTGTATGTAGTGTGTGTGGAAGCGACATGGGAAGTTGCGCTGGACGTCGGGCAGGCTGTGTGAACGGGCCGTCACGCCCAGGTGCAGCAGGGCGGCCCGGGGAGGCTCCGGCCTCCTCCACACCCGGGGGGCGTTTCTGAGGGCACGCCGCTCAGCCCGGGGCAGCCTACTCCGGGCGCTGGGAATGGGGGGAAGGGTCTGAGTGAGACAGAGAGGAGGGGGAGGGATATAGGACAGTGGGGTCAGGAGGTGCAGTGTATAAGGAGTGATTTGGGTTTAATGAACATGACTGGAAAAGGCTTCTTTCACATCCTGTTACCTTGTACCTTCTGACTGGGGGGTCTGCATTCTGCACCGCCGTGTCACATCCCTAAAGCCCAGAAAGATTTAAAAGCTGGTTTAAAAGCCACGGCCGCAGAGAGACTGGGACCCTCCAAATCTGTCTGAAGAGATGGGACGTGCGAGTCCCGACCTGAAGAATGGCAGGCGGCTGCACGCCGCTCTCCGTGATGATGAACTCGTCCCGCTGTCGTTCTCCCTCCTGCTCCCACTGCTGCAGCTCCCTTTCATACTGCACCACGGCGCCCTCTGCTGTTACCTGATGACGTGACCCTGCCCTTAATGACATCTACCAAGCTTTAGCATCTGTTTTTCTCAGAACAAATGAACGTGAACAGATGAAATAGACATCTGAAACAGAATTAAAGAAAGTATAAAATAAAATTGATCCAGTTTTTGATTTTCTCCTTATTACAAGAAGGTGTAAAATTTGAGCTGGGACAAAACCTTGATGAATCAGTCTGTGTAAAAGCAAAGACTTTTTTGTGTGTTTCTTCCTGAATAATTGAAGTGAACATAGATTAGATGCAGAATTAAAAGACAAAGGAATGTATCAACATTATTTTGTCATAGGTAACAGTGGTGTTGTTGGTGTGTATGGTGATGCGGGAGGGGGTTGGGGGGGCAGAGTGTCTCCTCAGGTCGCACCTGACAGATGAGGTCCAGCGTGTAGATGCAGGGCCCCCCCACGGCCTGTAAGGTAAGCGTACATAGGACGCTCTCCCCCACCGCTAAGGCTCCATCTTCAGGGTGGATCTGCACCTCCTGACAAACACAGGTTCAGTGTGACACACACACACACACACACACACACACACACACATCCCCGCATTGTGTCAAATCCACACACCGAGCAGTGGGCCTGCTGAGCCAGGTTCCAGGAGTAAAGGACCGTGTCTGTGCTGGAGACGTTCATCAGGAAGAAGATGCGGGTGGTACGGGAGCAGATGGGGACGTCTCCTAGTGACAGCTGCTTCAGAGACAGGACTGCCAGCTGTGGGCCGCCACATGTCCCAGGGGATCATGGGAAACAGAGTCCACAGACGGTTCAGGGGTGATGTCAGCACAAACCCAGCGCACTGCAGGCTCTGATATTTAAATGTTCCTCACCTGCCCAGGCAGAGGCTCCCTCTGAGGACGGGGCACATCGGCCTGGTCTCCCTGAAGCCACAGCGGGGGCGAGTCCCCCAGGGTCCGAGCATCGAACCCGCAGCCCTGCAACGTGACCAGTGTCGAGTCTCCCTCCAGTATGTGGATGGAGACGTCCACCTGGAATCACACGGAGCAGAAAAACTCCAGTATCTCCATGTGTGTCGAAGTATCTCAGGGGCGGGGATGGGGGGGGGGGGGGTGCAGACTCACACTGTAAGTCTTGGCCTCCAGGGGAGAGAAAATCCACAGCAGGGATGCTACGAGGCCTGGCTGCACCTCCCCGGAGGGGTTCAGGCACTGCAGGACAGGATGCCCGAAATTGTCCGCCGTAAGCTGCTGAAGGGGCGTGATGTCGACCCGGTAGGTCGCTGGAACGGCGCCCGCATTATACAGATCACAAGTCTGCGGACACACGCCCCGTAAGAAGAAAAATTTTACTAACATACATTGTTGTCTTCAGAGATAATAAGGGGTTGAAAGGGGAGATGGGGCTGGGGGGCAGACCTGCCGGGGAGGGTCGAACTCCCCAATGGCCACGGGTGCAAAGTTGTGCTTGCTGGAGGTGAAGTGAACATAAGGCTGGTCACACGCTACGGTCACGCCGGTGAAGTTCAGCTGTAAACGCAGCCGCATGATAAAAATCAGGCTCAGAAGTCAGCGCTGGAGCAGAGGGAGATGATCCACGTCACAGCGCCTCCCTTACCAGGATCTGCCGGCCGTGGGACACCTTCAGGAGCACCGGGAGGCCGAATCTGCCCATCAAGTCATGCCTTTGGGACAGAATGGACTTGTGTCAGGTAGTGTACTGACGTCGACTTCAGCATCAGCTAGAAGGGGCCAGATTGGAGCCCTGGAGGATTGTGGGTCTTTAAGAACCAGCCCAGTGATTTTCACGCATAATGATGGTCGGAATGCTTGACACAGGCTACAGGAACTGAAAATCACAATGACTCCTTGATATTCGCAAACGTGTGGGAGCAGTGCTGTAGGCGATTTACGTCAGGGTGCAGACGTCAATGAGAGAGGGTGTGCAACCTGTAGATCAGCTGCACCGCCCCCTGCTGGCCAGGATGCAGCTTGCCAGCTCGGGGCGCCACTGAGAACAGCTGCTCGGCAGAGCTGGGGTCACTGGTCTCTGCCCAGTATTCCAGCTTCACCTTCTGGTCTTCGGGAAACAGGAAGCACCTGCGTTGGAGTGTTACCATTAAAGAGATGCTGCTGGGTGGGGGGGGGTTCATACATACCCACCAAACCAGGACCATCAACGTCCGATGGCTGAACGATTAATAAACAAAAGCATATATTTTGTCAAATTTTTTTGGGAGAAGTCGCATAACATCTGCTTTTCAGAAATTACTATCCCTCTGTCGCGACTATATAGCAGAGCCTGAACACACACACACACAAACACACACACACACACAAACACATTCAGCCACACACAGATTAGTTCTCTATATCTTTGTGGAGACCATCCCTTAATTTCTATTGGCATAACCCTAATCCCAACAATGACAACTTTAACCCCTACCTTGCTCTGACCTTAACCATTAGTAACCAAACAAAATACGTCTTTTGGCATTTTTAGTTTTTTGATTGCTGTCACAGATTTTTATAAATTTTACGAATCTGAATAATGTCCCCACAAGCTAAAAAGTAAGAGGTTTTACGACATTGTTGGGACAGTCGGCAAATAAAGACCCATGCAGAGACACACAGGCACAGATGTGTGCACAGACAGACCAACACATGTATACACACACACACACACACACACCACTCCGCAGTGATGTTCCCCGTGTTCTCCAGCGTCAGCGTCACACTCGAGGGCTCTGATCCCAGGGGGGCCGCACAGAGGTCAAAGTCCAGCATGACCGGGGTGAAGCCGGACAGCCGACGTCGGGGGCTGGGGGGGCAACATACCCACACACACATAGTGTATAATCAGCCACAGGGCGAGCCTGGGGGGGGGGGGGGCTGAGACGAAACCATGAGGGGTCACCTGTGCCCCCCCGGGCCGAGGGCGAGCTCCAGTGAGGGATCCTGGCACAGGTACGCGTTGAGGCCGCTCAGGGACAGCATGCTCCACAGCTGCATCCTGCCCAGGCCTTCAGCGGCCCCACACCCCTCAGCGTCCACCACCTCCAGTGTGGGGTACGAGCCGCGGCCCTGCACCCGGCACAAAGCCTGGGGTTCGGACATCACTGAGCCTGCGGAGGAAAACCAGCTATCAGGCAGCCGGGACATAATCAGGGAACCATTTCCGATTTTCATGCCAGCCAGTCAGGGTGTCCTGTGCCCTTAATTCCTCTTCCTATGAAGTCCTTTCTGACTAATGTTCCACATTAAATAAGCTCTGATTGGCTGATGAACACGCAGAGAGGCGGGCCTTCCGGTACCGTGCCAGTTGACGATCTGGTAACGGATGGACCAGCAGTAACTCGCCCTACGTGTCAGTCTCGCTGTGCAGCGGATCAGCATCCTGCACCGGGCTGCAATCGTGCCTTCCAGGCGCTCTAACTTAAGCGCTAGAGCAGGGGAGGGAAATAGAGATGAACAACCATAATCACCGCAGCTATTTGCTTTTTATTTATTTATCACATTGATTATAGCAAAAATACCAGCCCGCAGGAAGGGGGCGATCTCACAATTGAAATATCGAACTGGGGGTGGGCAGAGCAAAAATCAAAGATCTTGGTATCTTCTGTTACCAATCGGGTCATCTGGTGCATCCTGCGGCTGGACTGGGACCATGATGCTTTGCTGCACATCCAGGGAGAAGCGGAGGGCGCACGGACCATGGTTAAGCAAAGGCAGGTCACATGACTGGCAGCCTCCCACCAGTACTTCACCCAAGTCAAGCACAGGGCACTCTGCCTGGGGGAGAAGGTCCAATCTGAGATTATATTGCCGGTATTAATGTTACCATAGTAGCACAGGACACTAGTGATGAAGGAGCACCTGTATAGAGCCCTGTGTTGCGAACCCCATCACCCTGACTGAGAGGCGGGACTTCCTGCATCCAGGGCTTTGGGTTGGCCAGAACATCAGACTGGGCTTCAGAGTGTATAAGGACTCAGCCAATGGCGTGAAGGACCACACCTGTGCCTGGGATACAGCCAATCACAGCACGTTAGCGGACGTCTTTGTGGACTTGGCACAAGTGGGTGATGAGACAGCAGAAACATATGAAAGTGGTGGAGAGTCCGGGGCAGTGTAATTCTTATAAAGTAGCAGCCTAATGATTTTTTTATAAAGATGATATTTTAATAGTCTGAAGCGCTATCTGGTTGGATGCCTTCACGGCTGAGCGATCCTACACCCCTCACCAAGCTCTCGTTGGGCTGCAGGACGCCGTCTTCTGGGTCTACAGACAACGAGCTGTCCTCTGAGTCCCGGGCAGACCAATGGAAGCTCAGCGGCACGCGACTCTCATTCCTGATCCGCCAGGAGCGTATGGAGCAGGAGCCGACCGCAGTGGGCTGGAAAAACAGGCCGCCGTCGCTCTCGAGGGACACCTGCGGCCGCTCGGTACTGCTTAACACAGTCAGCACCTGTGCACATGGGAACAGGGGGGGGGAGGGGCAATGTCAGCATGGCGCCACCTAATGGAGAGAAGGATAAACACGTACAGGTGAACGTTACCTGAGTGTGTTTGGAGGTGCCATTGAACCACAGGGGTAGCGCATGTTCCCGAGGGCGGTCTGCCTCGGGGGTGCTCCTGAGCATGAGGATCTGGTGCGCCCCAGGTGCCACCAGGCCCGTGGTGGGCCTGACAGAGACAGGAAGGCCCTCATCAGGGTCCAGCCTGAAGGTGAGTGGCAAGTCTCCTGCGTTCTGAAGGAGGACCATCTGGTAACACGTCTCAGCCAAGGGAGGGAACACCTGGGAAAGGGGGGGGGGCGTGAGGGATTTGAGGAGAAATGTTTGTAATGGATACGACCAAAATGCATGCGTATGATGACTCACCACTAGAGGACGCTGTAGTATCACACGAGGGGTGAAGTGCTCGCAGCCTGGCTGGAAGGAGTGGCCGCTGACCCTAAGCGTGACGCAGCAGGGAGGACACAGCGTGCGATCATCTGCCTGGTGATGGTTCCTCAGTACCTGGAAGGGAGTCAGGATGGCAGGCTTGAGATCGTCCCACACTGACTGATGGGCATTTCCTGTTAATTTGGGATTTTTCCTCCTCATGCATCATGTAGACCCCCCCTGAGAGACCCCCCTGAGAGACCCCCCTGAGAGACCCCCCTGAGAGACCCCCCTGGGGACACCTTGTAAAAAGCAAAGCACTCCAGCTGGGCCCCGTGCAGAGTGTTGTCCTTTGGGGGTGCGTACACGACCCGAAACGCCGTGCTCTTCAGGGGCGCCAGGTCACGGGAAGCGGGCTCCACACTGAAGGCCCAGTCAGGGGCCATGGTCCATGCCAGGCTCAGCGTGCCCTTGGTTCGGTTGGTGACGGAGACGGAGAGCGAGCGTGACCCTCTGTGGAACAACAGCTCAGGGGGGTCTACGGTGACCGCAGAACCCACTCCTGAGCTCCCCTGAAGGTACTCCTCTGCTGGCGCCCTCTGGACTTGTGTAGGGTCCAACACAGGAGTCTTTACCTGTAGGTCCTGTGAGGAGATACCTAATCACCATCATTACTACTTATGCTAATTATTGTTATGCTGATTAAGATTTTTTAAGTTTAAAAACCTCAGTTCTAGAGAAACAATCGTCAGGCCTGACCTCTGGCAGCAACAGCGCCCCCTCTTGGTCAAGCTGCAATTTGTTCTCCTCCAGCATGGTGCTCAGTACATCAGGGGGGTAGCAGGTCAATCCACGGGCCAGATGAAGCCAGTAAAGGCGCAGGTGCCTCGGTTTCAAGATGGCCGGTTTCAGCTGCTCTGAGTGGCAGGTGCCAATCAGGTCCAGGAACAGAGGATCCTGCAATAGGAGACCCGCTGCGTCAGGGCTGCACCGTGAGGGCCGCTGGCACCTCCATCGGACTGTCCGCACGTACCCTGTGCAGCACAAGGCAGGCCACCCTCCTGTAGTGGGCGATGGGGAGCCGGGGTCTGAAGCGCACGCGGATGGTGAGGGAGCCGCGGGGGGGCAGGATGCCGCACGGCGGCTCCGGGCCGAAGACACCATGTCCTCCAGGGTCCACATCGAACTGGAAGCGTGCCTCGGCCAAGCCACAGTTGGACAGAGTCACGGTGCGCACCGCCTCCGTGCCCAGCTCCAGGCAGCCAAAGTCCAGCACCGTCACTTCCAGAGTCACCAGGGGGCCTGAGGGATTGTGGGGAAAAAAGAGGGAGTGTTCACAGGGAGAGACATCAAGCCCAGAGGCAGAGGTAAATTTCAGGGGCAACCCTACCGATGGGTCTCTTGGGAGATTTTGCAAAATGGGTGGGTCTCCTTGGATGGATTTCGCTGATGGGGAGGGAGGTTCAAACTCATATTCTAGATTCGACGGCCCACACGCCGTCACCCAGTCAGAGGGTGTTCCTCAGCATTTGTACTTGACCATATTTGTGTTCTCGTCTACCTGTTTTACATCATTGCCGAAGACCAGTTACAATACGTAAGAACAGAAGTACAGAGGAGAGTAAAAATCCCCAAATGTTGCTCTTGACATACCGGATGACCGCCCCCCAGTAAACGGTAACAGTGCCTACCTGTTTTACATCATCTTCCATTGCCAAAGACCAGTTCCAATACTAAGAACAGAAATACTGAGGACTGTAAAAATCCCCGGATGTTGTTCTTGCTCTGCGCCTAATATCAAGGATACATCAATTGCATTCTCACCAAACGAGACCAATCCTATGATTCCTTGTGTCCCAAGTTTGTTCTTGGGATGCAAGTTAGCAAGGCCACAAATACGATCTTCGCGTTCTCTGTATTGAGAAACACCCAGAGATCTACAGTCAGACCAGCTTTATTCTAAACCCACCCAGATCCACTTCACCTCCACCTCCCAACGGTTGTGGTCCTTGGGGCAAGAACCCTGAAGGCCCAAAGGCGTAGATTGGGTATGGAGGGTAGGGACATGTTCCGACCAATACTATGGGAGTACCATGTGTGTTTAGGTGGGGCAGCGGAGAGGTTCAGGGTTGATTTGGCCCCTACCGACGCTGAAACCAAACCTGCACTCTTTGATTGCCTGATCGCTTTAGCAGACCCCAAACCAGAGGTGCCATAACAGCCCCCCCTCAGAGCAACACCCAAAAGCCCCAACATGCTTTAAGAATCTCATCACCAAATAATGCCATAAAACTAGTGTGATTAAAGTCAAACACGATGACTGCTGCAAGTTCAATCCTCACCCACGCAGGTGCCCGTGACTTTGAGGATGGTTTTGCTGACCCCCCCGGAGCAGGTGACAGAGTAGTAGTCCACACTGGTACAATCCACGGTCTGGGGCGAGAAACGCACGGGCACCTTCAGCGAAGCACGGGGCTCCACCCGCCCCTCTCGCACGTCGCACTGGAAGACCTCCTCCAGGAGAGCTGGCCTGTGTAGCATGCTCAGCCTGAAGGGGGCGCTCACCTGCCAGAGAGAGACAGAGATAACAGTCATAAGACCCATACAGACCTACTAACAAGGCCACAGTAAGCCGGGGCCAAAACGTGTGATGTAACAAATCAAATATTCTTCATAAGCTTCCTGTCTTTCTCTTCCAGCTTCTCAACAGATGGATATTTGGAGTGGGAAGAGGGTTCACCTGACATGGATTGAAGATGTCAAAGTACTTCTCCTTGGTTTTGCCCACCGACACACTGCCAAAATCCAGCACGCTCCATTCACCCTCCTTCTGCGGGGTGCAGACTTGGAGGTGAGGGTACTTGGCTGTGGAGACAGAGGGGTACAAAGTGCAAGGTCATACAGCATCGCTGCCCTTAAACAGATTAGACAACACTGTGACGGTGGTGCAGGAACTGCCATAAAAGGACATAGAAAGTCATGTGACAAACATTCCCATACCTCTACCGTAGGCAGTGTTGGGGAAGTTACTCACAAAAGGAGTCTGTTGCAGACAGAGGTGGAAAGTTCAGGTCCAGAAAGTATAAATCCAGACCATGGTTTTGTTTCAACCAACCAGTTGAGTATAAAATGTCAGTCACTGAGTACTCAACTGGTTGGTTGACACAAAACCTTGGTCTGGATTTGTACTTTCTGAATCTGAACTTTTCACCTCTCTCTGTAATAGATTACTTTTGTGAGTAACTTAACCAACGCTGACCGTAAGCAGTTAGAATTCTTTCTATGCTTGTGCTCACCTGCTTGTTTACATTCCTAGTTAACCAGAAAAACTGTTTTCTCACCCCATTTCTCTTATTCTGGCTGCAAATCTTCCCTTTAGTCTTCTGTGAGCAGTAATAAAATGTGCTCCTCTTTTATGGACCTAAAGGAGGAACCTTTCACCAAAACCCCTCTTTATGGGACTATGATCTAAAAACAGGCTCTAAACATGCTCAGTGGTTGGAAAGCTCGTTTCTCGCAATGTCATAGAGCTACGCTACCTGGAATCGACCCTGTAGACCTGTGACATGCTGTAGAGCTAACGCATGCCGGGAGTGGGAGAGCGCCCCCTTGTGCATGCACAGGCACTCACACAGTCCGCGTAGCAGTACAGTGGCGCGGCTCTCCTCCAGGTCGCCATAGACGCAGCGAGCCTCCTCCTGGTACACCAGAGCCTGCTGTGGCCTGAAGTACACTGTCACGCTGCACTCCTCCCCGGGAGCCAACACGTCGTTCATGGGTGAGAGCCGGAACGGAGCCTCAACCTCCCACGTGAAGCTGGTTTGAAGCTTACTGTAGGTCAGAACACTAGTCAGACACACAGAGAGCCCGTGTGCATGCGTGTGTCACACGGGTAATTTCACTTCCGCCACAGATAACCCTAAGTATTCTGTACTTTTATCTACTTTAACTAGTACTGGGTCATGGGGGGTCCTGGAGCCTCTGAGGGTGGGGGGGGGGACACTCACAAGCTGACAGGTAAGGGCTTGCCTGGCATTGCGGATCACGAAGGTGACCCGGGACGTGTCTTGGACGGCGCAAGGGGGCAGCAGCACCGTGTCGGGGACCTCCAGGGCGTGTCTGGGGGGGGCAGCACGCAGGGACACCCGGAAGGTTCCGGCCCTGCTCCGGAACTCAATGCTGTCCGAGTATTCCCGCTGCTCCGCATGGTGTGTGTGTGACAGGCACGAGCAGAAGATCACAGATCTTCCATGACTGGCTGGCAGCCTTCACTTCAACCCGGTTAATGCAGCCCAGCGCCCTCTCAGAGCCATTTATACAGTTTAATATTTTACTACCATTTCAGACTTTTACAATAAACTCATCTACACAGAGTGGCATTGTTTTAATTACTCTTGCCCTGTTATGCATATTGATACACGATTCAGTTTGATGCTCAGCTCTGTTTTAGATTAATATGGTCTTACAACACGGTACTGCTAACGAACACTGAGAAGAGGGTTCTGCTCCACTTTCCTGTTAAGACCATCACCTTCTCTAGAGGACGGAACGTCACGGGAAGTGAGAAGGACGTCCCAGGACTCAGGACGATGGTCTTGGGGAACAGCGTGATGAAGACTCCAGAGATGGGGGGCCTGTGCGAGACGACAGCGGGGGTTAATGTTCGGCGTGTGACCTGCTGTCCACCCCACCGTCCGCAGCGTGCTCTCCAAGGCCGGCCGCACTCGGAGACTCACTTGAAGTGGAGCTTCTGCAGTTTGCTGTGGATGTTCTTCAGCGTCAGGCTCTTGGTGACCTCCCTGCCCGGCTCCCAGCTCTCCCAAATCAGCTGCTTCTGCGTCTCCACTCCCAGGAAGCAGCCGCGGTGGGACACCGCACCCCTGCCGAGCTCCGCCAGCTGCGGCAAGCTAGCACCCTGATGGGTGGACATAATGACAGATGCTGCCAATCACACTGCCACCACTAGGGGGCATAAGCAGCAGAAGCAGTCACATGGCGGACATATTAAGAAATATAAACACAAAAACAAGACTGGCTGGTAACCACACTTTCAGATCCACTTGTGTTAATGGCATGTGGTAGCCTACCAGCTCATGCTTGGTGCAGTCTGCCTTCTGAAAGGTGTCAGATTTCAAAGGGTTTAATGAAATCTCTGCCAACATTTGAGACCTAGGGGAGACAAATATGCAGCACGAACTGGATATTTGCCCTTTTTCCACAACATGTTATTCACCATAGGAACGCCACTGACGTTCCACGCAAGAGGATCCAATCAAGATCGGAACATTTAATGCAAACGCGGATAAAGCTTTGTAAGACGTTATATGTCGTCTGACGTTTGTATGTCGTTTAATGTAAAGCGCTTTGAGACAATGTAATGTTGTGAAAATGCGCCATACAAATACAATCGAATTGAAATTTAGCTGAATTTAAATCATGCCAGGAAATTCTCAGTCCATACGCACATAATTCATTCATTCGTTGATTCATTCATTCATTCGAGCCGCAGTTTTTGAAGCGCGGAGATCTGCAGATAGTGTCGACCAAAAAAAATAAAAATAATTACTCAAAAACTGGATTAATTTATTGGTAAAAAGAGAAACAGTTGCGTGCCTTTTAAGTCTTACCTCTTTTACACCGAAGATTATAAACAGACTAGTTCTGAAAGTAGTTTGAACACAAACTTTCCTTTTCTCCTAGGCTACTATGATATCTACGGCGCCTCTGAAATGTTGATACGCGACGCACCATAGCAACCACGGGCGCTGTACTGGGACAAAACACGCCAATGGGAAAATATTCCCACAAATTTTCCCCAGTCTTAAAATTTCTTAACGTTATCATGTTTTCCCGGACTTTGCACAAGAGGGAACGAAGTTAATACCGACAGCATATTTTGATTTAATTCTAGTTTTTGTTTTTTGACGAAAATAAAATTTGTTTTAATGTAGATTTAGTGGACGAAAATTACATGATATTTACTAATCTAAATGTACTTAAGTTTTATTCTAGAGTTTAAATCTACATTAGATGCAGTGAATTAAACTAACAGGTTTAGACATAGTGTACGTAATACATCATTTTCACTCTTTGAGAATGTCACTTAATTTTCTTGCATATGACGTATCTTCATTCACATTGTAAGAAAAAACACACCATTACATTGAACATGAACAAAGAAAACTATTGCCCTCTCTCAAAAACGTAAACAGTTATTAGACCAGTGAGAACCAACTGGGTTGTGAGTTGTGAACCTTGCCGATGAAATTCGCCTTGCCCATTTTGCCGATGGGCTAATTCCCCCTACAGCACAGAGCGAGGTCGCAGAGCGCATGCTTTCTACTTGTCAGATGAGTGCATGGTTTAGATCGACATGCTCCAGTCATGCCCACGGACAATAAACACTAACTAAATATAGGCTACATCTGACTCTCCAGCAAAACCACAACCCGCCGCCCCTGCTCCGCTCAGGAGCCCAGAATTTCTAGCTACACCCCTGCAAATTTTTGCAATATAGCGTGTATAAAACAATTCTCATTTTGATTCTTTTTGGTGTCGTCACCTGTCCCTTTTCTTAATCTTAACATTTACGTGGAGATTTTAAAAATGCCACTTCGTTATTACTGTACATTTGACTGACACTCAGGGGCGTTGCTAGAGATTTTGGGCCCCATGAAGGCATATCATACTGGGCCGGGTGGGCCCCCCAGTCCAGACCAATCCAGTTATTTTCCAGATTTTTCCTAACTCCCCACCCCCTTACAACGACCCTGCTGACACTCAAACTAATTTACATTTACAAGTGTAAAAACAAAATATCAATGCCCTCATGTTTTATGTGGGTTTTGCAATTTTTTAATTAAAAAACTTTATTCATTTTAATTAATTTTCCATAATGAATTAAGTGATTATTTGTCATTGTTGACACACCACAGCACAACACACAACAATGACATGTGTCCTCTGCCTTTAACCCTTATGTGACATAGCAGGGGGCAGCTAATTCAGCACACAGGGAGCAGTGCTTGGGGGGGCAGTACCTTGCTCTGGGTACCTCAGTAGTGCCTTACTGGTCAGGGATTCAAACCAGCAATCTTTCAATTACAAGTGTGCATCCCTGACCATCAAGCCACCACTGCCCACAAGGAGGATCACTTATTGTTTATTTAATATTACTTTTATTTTAGTGAACTGATCATGATTAGATTTACTATTAAAAATGGCTAATTAACATTAATAAAAACAAGAATAGAGTTTCGAAAAGTTTTGTGGGAAATTTCTTTCTCTGTTTCCATCCCAGGTGAAATAGTTTCTTCCAACAGACATTTTTATAAAATAAAGTCATTGAGGGAACTTACAGAAACATACAAAGCTACTAGAGTTTACACTAACAACACAATGGCTTAAAAACATTCCCATATAAACTTTCATTCCTTTTTGTATTCATATCCTTTTTTGAGTAATACTGCTGATTTGTTTGGAAGCTTATAAGCAGTCTATTGAACCCTGGTATTTTCATGTAAATTAAAAACTAAACCTCAGCAAAGTCTCATGGACAGTGCAGAACTACAGTACCTGAGAGCTGCACGGCTTCTTCTATTTAAAAATACGTATAAAATAAATTAGAGTTAACAATTTAGCTATAAGGCAGGAACCAAAGGGAGAGAAGCACCGGAAAGAGCATCTTCAAAAATGAGTACGGACCACATTTATTCTGTGAGCTGATGGATTGTGGAGGGGAATTTGAGCTTCCAAACATGTTCTGCATCTGTAACAGAGAACCTTATGGGATCCTGACACACAGCATGCATGTTATACATTTGTGATGGATACCAGCTCCATGCGAATGCATGAGCCACACGTGACTTGCCACCAGGTTCTTCCTCTGCTGGCTTTAACTGTAGAGCACTCTGGATCTTTCAAAGATCTCCGCAAAGATCCTGACCTTGACATCCCTTCATGGTCTCCTCTAGGTCATCCTCAGAGCAGGACCTCAGTTTTGAGGCACATTGTAGGTAGTCTGAAGGGTTATGAAAGTCCTTTCCCACAGTGACCACAAAATCCTGCTGCTCATCATTGTCCTCCACTGTGTCGTCCATGTCTTCCTCCAGATCATTTCCATCTACGTCCTCGATCGGTTGAGTGTCCCCTGGATGCTCACACCCTGGTGGACCTTCTAAATGTGTCTGTGAGGATTGACCACCGGACCTCCTGCTGCGTTTCCACTTCATGCGGCGGTTCTGGAACCAGATCTTCACCTGCACACAATCAGCAATGCCAAGAGAACCGGCCCATGAACATAATGACAGATCCAAGCAAATTGCTCCAACAAGAAAAAAGAGGACTGGTGGACACTATGAGAAGATATTCCTAATATTCCACAATTATTGTTCATCCTACTGCCTGGATGCCTCCCACAATCTTACCTGCGTCTCAGTCAGCATCAGTGACGTAGCCACCTCAAAACGTTTTGGCCGTGAGAGGTACTTGTTCAGTTTGAATTGGTTTTCCAGCTCCAGAAGTTGCTGACTGGTAAATGCTGTGCGTGGCCTTCTACACTTCCCCAGCAGGGCTGAAGGGGGCGCAGCTGAGAGGGAAAAAAAAAAAAACAATGAATAACACAGTGAAGCAGGTCGGAAAATTCAAAGCACCTCCCCTTTTATAACAGGGCTCCTAGGGATGTTGCAAAGTGGAGGGAACTTAGGACAAATCCAAGGGCCCCTGAGCGACAAGGGCCAAAAAAATTTGGAACATAACAGGATTGGACTGGGTTGTGGGCCCAAAATAACATGCTCTCATGGGGCCCAAAATCTCCAGCAGCGACCCGCATCGTCCACAAGCACCCTCGGTCATTCCTATATGCCACACACTCCAGACTTTAAAATACATTATATTTGAATAGAGTAGTGGTCAATAACTGTAATAATGTTGTCATGATACTTGTCAAGTAGACGTAGTGACAGAAGCTGTTATATTGGTAACATTGTTGAGGAATCAATAGATATCTACATTCAACAGATAATCACTGTTATTTAGGATTTTTAGAGGTTTTCAGAGATTTTACACTTTGGTACCATTATGCAGAAGTGATACACGGCAATAAAACATGCATTCATGCAGCTACACAATGAGCATAGTAGGTTAATTAAATATTCTATACATAGGCCTACATTTATCAGCTGTTGTACTTCCAGTACTGCATGAGATATTAAATATTAGGGCTATCACGGCATGCGGTGTGCGGGGGCCCCGGGGCCCGCGAGGGACGTGGAGAGACTCTTTGGCTGGATACAGGGATACTGCAGTTAAACATTTTAAATATTGAAAATAGAAAAAACAGCTGTGTTTCTCAAGTGTCCATAGAATAATGTATTGTTAAGTATTGTTACATTATTTCATATTTAATTATCTAATAATAACTATTTTCTCACTTTTTCAACTAGGCCTATTTAAACGATTTTCCCTGCAGAACGTGTCAAAAAGCATTATGTAAATGTATAATTAATAGAATACTACTAATAATAATATTGAGTAGTAAATACAGTGAATCTGGGATGGATAAAAAAAATCATTTACCCTATATTTTTGCATCATTACTATATATATACTTGAGGCGGCTGTGGGTTTTCCCGTTCATTCTCTGATATTCTGAATTCATCATGCTTTCATCATCTCCTGTACTTTCGGTTATCATAGGAACACACAAAAATAGGCTTACGTGTAAAGAACAGGTCAAAAATAATTACCCCAGAATAGTTAAAAGAAACAAGTAATTTCCACGTAATCTCCATCATAATTTGCATGGTAGAAACAAAAAAAAAAGGTTTTCTCAGAATGGCTGATTACGCACGCATGTTAGACTGTCTTGATAAGAGAGCTGAATTTCAGAAAGTAGGCCTATAGAGAACTGTATTGCACTGTGATAATTAGCGATTGTATGTCTAATATGCCTAACTTTCATGTACTAAGCGGTTTTTCTAAATCAACTGAGAACGTTTTTCTAACACAAAATATTAAAAACCAAGTACTCACGCAATCACACAATGTGACAAGGTTTCTGTGAATATTTTTTAACAAGAAACGAAAGATTACTCATAACTTAATCCCTGCAGATTAAGTTATGAGTATTTACGAAGACGTCAGTAACCTAAAAAATTCAGGACCCTAGAACAGGTTTAAATTAACAAAAAGGGAAACTACCATGTTCTAAGAATATTTTTCGTCCCTTAAAGTTTATATACGTATCTTATTGTTTCATATTGTATTAATTTCATATATACAAACTATTTGTTGCACATTGCACGGCCGTCGTACTGTATTTCACAGAAATACGGTGTCACTAGGCTATACGTGTAAATGTTTGGCTGCCAGTCTCCCACATTCCTGAGCCCGTACTTTGTCAAAAACAATAAGGCGCCTATAACCGATTCACTTACATCTGTAGCCTGGAAGGCTCGGTACCATAATCCCAGCCCGAATCCACTGCTCGATGGGAAGAGCCGCTGTTTTAGGGCTCTCCGGATGTGGCTGGATAAAGTGAGAGGATCCCAGGTAGTTAAAAGCTTGATGCTGGCATCCCGGGGCCGAGATGGGGTACAGCGGTGCCGGGTACATACCAGGGATTGTACCGTGGGAGAGTGAGGCAAGTTCTGGGTGCGTTAGAAACAGGCCTAATTTAGGTATAATTCCCGGTTGAAATTGAATTCCCTGGGGAGAATGTGAATCCGGTGTTTGACAGGTCGGGGGGCTGTCGGTGAGGCTGCCATGGACCAGACCCGGCGAGGTATACCGTTTCCCCCGGTGAGATTCATCCGCCAACAGGGCATCGATTCGGAAGTTTTTTGACTTATCCATAGAACTTCCGTGGGACGAAAAACACACCGATACAAAACTATCGCTACTCTAGGCAGCTGGCATGCGGCGTGCAGAGTAAATGTGCCCCGTTCAGCCCGAGAAGGCGGCTGTGAGAGACATACGTGCGCTTCTGCCTGATCTCCCTAACAGAGAATCCGTTACAGTGAAACTGCTACCCCCCCAACTCGGACTGCTGTATTAACCGCACTGCTTCAGAGTTCAAGACTGTTCCGTTTCCTGAAAACAGATATCGAAAGTAATATTCATAAATAGCTAATCATTAACTCGGCTTTGCAAGCGCAATGCAGCCCCATTAAGCTGTAGTTTCCCTGATGTTCTACATTTCATTAACTATTGATTTGTACGTTTTCGCTTCTTCTTTCATCTCAGCAGAGTTCCACCCCTTTCCTAGTCAGGCCGGGACCCCCCAGGTGTCCCCCCGTATCCCACCCCAGCCTCTCACTCCATCCTCCGCTTAGACATCCTTTCTCCCGCGATCGGATTGGCCCACGTCACAGCAGCCTTGATTGCGCAAAAATTAAGCAATTTCTCTTTATTAAGTAATTTCACTTTAGTCCGAAAACACTTTCCTGCGCAACATAAGTATTTTAGATGCTATGTTATCATTATAATTATTATTATTATTATTGTTGCTGTTCTGTGTGTATATATATATATATATATATATATATATATATATACACACACAAATTACTTAAATAGCCTATATATATATACGAATAAAAATTTTGCGTACGAAAGAAGGGAATTCACTATTGGTCCTTAAAAGCTTATTTCTCTCATTATTCATATTTTAACAAGGACAATGTTAAAACAAATACATCTAAATGCAAGATATCAAGCGAAACTGAATTTTAAAGGGTCATTTAATTACCTACATATAGAGAGGTTTTTTTAATCTGAGCTAAAGGTAATATAAATACTTTATATTGCGTGGTTTTAAAGGTTTTTTCGTAAAATAAACTAGTTTGCGCAAAGTAAATGAGATTCATTAACAAAACTGACGCCAAAAGTCCAGAGGCCTATTTTGGGTGATTTTTTTAAATAAAAAAAAAAACAGCAAAATGCCTGTACGAGTCTGACAAATGAGATATAATATAAATCTAACTGAGGGCGCCGTCGCCTTTATCTCGCTCATTAAATATTATGAGCGTAGACTCTGTGCGTTAAGAGGGAAAATTGCTACAAATGGGCAGGAAGATAATTAGCGGTAGAGACGTTCCCAGTATCCTGTTGCAGGTGGTTCGGCCTCTGTAAAATAACACAATGGGTCAATACTCATCAATTCGACATCCGTCTTTGGCATGTACGCAGTCGCAAACGCAGGACCACCTACACCTAGATTTTCTCGAACAATGTGTGGGGGAACTCTTTGTTTACCGTAGCAAACATTACCTAACAGATAAGTGATGTTTATAGCCCAGGTCAGTGACTAAGGAGCGTGAAGTGAGAATGCTGCAGGAATGCGGACAGGTGTGTGAATATAGGTGGTCTGTCACGGACCGTGCCCAAAGAAAGCAGTCCGTCTGTGCAGAAAACAGGCTGATAGTGTTTCCAAGTTGCACGTGCAATGGAAATCCCTTCTTCGGCATGTGAATAGAAATACAAAACAAAGCATCGTTAATGAACGTATGAAGTTCTTGTGTTAAACGTGCATTACGCAATAAAGTTCAAACGAAATATAAAGTATAAATAAAACTGACATATATGTAAATATACATGTTAAAAATCCTGTTTTACATGCTTTTGTCCGATTTCGACCCAAATAAGACAATGCTTCCACAATAAATTTAACGCTCTTGTTCTTGTAATATCTTTTTTTTTTGTCTATGCAGAAAAACTAATCTTAGAAGCTTAATATAACTAATTATACCATCATCCAGCCATAACTATATAATAGATAGATAGATAGATAGATAGATAGATAGATAGATAGATAGATAGATAGATAGATAGATAGATAGATAGATTAAAATGTGGAGTTTATCAATTCCACATTGTAAACCAAATAGTTAATAATGAAACTTTTTCGGTTTGAAGGCAAGACAAATTCAATTCACTTCATATTCATATAGCGCCTTGCACAACACATTTGATTTCCGTGTAATATGTAAATCAGCCTAATCGTGCCTGTTGATATCCGTGCAACATGTAGTTAGCATATTTTGTGGTTTAGCTCCTCTCAGTCCTGCTCTATCTGAGGAAAAGAACCAAAAAGAATCCGGCTGTGTTGAAATGATAATTATAACAAAAACAATAGGGATCCAGGAGCTGTGCAGCTGGGACCCTAATAACAAGCGACGTAGAAGAGAAGCAAATGGCACATTGCAAATATACCCGCTGTCAGGGAGTCGACTAGGCATGAGTGCAGATAGGCTGAGCTTCCAGTGAAGGCCCAGTTACCAGTGTAAGCAGTGCTGGAGCAGGAGCTACACAACGTCTAACAAAGCAAGGACCTAATAAGACTATTCAAGCACCAGAAGTGCAACATAAGATCATTCAGGGAATGTAAAAAGGCAGCAGGGAATAGTAATTTCTCACAGTGTACTTACAATGGTTGGCATACATACAATTACAATAAAGATAAAGCAATAGTATTTAAGATAACGGCTATCACACTCCAATGCAGGTTAGTGCAAAGAAAAGCAGCGAGAAAATTCTCTGAAAAACGTTTTTTTTGGTAGTTGTTTTTTTTTGTTTGGCAGTTCACACACTGATCCCAAACCTTGTGCTTATGAATGATTTGGAGTTACTCATATGTAGGGTATTTATTTAGACTGACCCACACATCCACTGGCCCCCATTTGTTAACCTGAAGCAGGTTAAATAAATCAACCCAGGGCCTCTTTCCGGGAGCAGACAGGCCACTGAAAGGTGGTGTCGGCAATCCTGCACATGGATGTGAACCAACAAACCAGCGGCCACACTCTGCCTCACGCGACTCCAGGCGGTTCTCTCACGGCGCTTTTCCACTGGCGTACAGGAACCGACCCGTACACTAGCCGTACTGGGCAGAGAAACTAGTTACAGCACGGTTCCACTCACTACAAATTGCCATTGTGGAAGGATCGGCTCGGTAAAGGCGGGTTTGGAGAGCGACATTGACGTAAAACCTAAGAGATGCTTATTTACTGTTCCCATCATAATTTAATGTGTGTTGATTTCCTAATTTTCTACATCTGTGAGAATCGTCATCTTGTGATACCGAAATTAGCAATGGCTTGCATAATTATCCATTATGAATCCATTCTGTTCAGTTGTACTACAGTACTTTTATAAGTAGAAGTTTGGAAATGTTCAAGTTCTGAGTTTTCGGGAATGCATCTGATGTGTGATATACAGTATTCAGAACAGGCCTCAGACTTCAAAGTCAGACACTAATGCTGCCCAGGCCTGCATGACACATTTAAACACACCAAGCCTTTCAAATTGACATTAAATACCCCCCCCCCAGATATTCATACAGCTTTGAAGTTTGCATTGCTCAGGTTAAATGAGAAATCAAATTGGGATGGCACCTTTACCCAAAGTGACAGCTTGTACCCAAATCACAGGAGTAACAGCACTTAGATGCTTTTCCTGCAGGGTACAGAAGCCCAAAGCGACCCAGCAACCATCCGGTTTCAGGCATGCACTCTCAACCCCAGGGATGGGGACAGTGTTAGGGAAAGACATGCAGGACTGCCTGAAATGCCGCATTCTCCAAGCAGGGAATCACTGTTTCTCATTTATTAATATTTCAACTAAGCCAAGTGCATAGCCACATATTAAAATTACAGGTTTGAACTTGCTTCCAAAGAGACACGGCATTGACCCGAATCGCCCCTCCCACCCCCACCTCAGCCCCGGTCAGCAGCGTGGATGTGCTTCGCCTGTCTGTGTGTAGGTACCCGGCTTCCAGTGCAGTGTAGATGCCCTTTTCCTAGCAAAGCTCTCCGATATCACAAGTTACTGGAAGTAATTTTTCTTCCATTTAGATGAGCGCTGGTGGGGGTGTTGATGGGGGTGGGGGGAGGGCTAGTCGGTAGCTCATTAATCAGGTCAGGAGTGTCTTCGTGACCTGGGTACGGCTTTGATTGGGAAACTGTAAATGGAATTACAGTGTCCTTAATAGCACCCCCTCCCACCACGTGCCTGCACCCCCATGCCTGTTTGTCCTCCCCACCTCAGGCAACAAAAGCACCTTTCAAGTCATCCGCAAACAGCGTGAGGTTTATTCCCATTTAATGGGCTGGCGGCCGTTACTGGCATGTCTTTTACAGTCCAGAACAAGGCGGCCATTGTCTGTGCCACCCTGATAAACGGCCCAACGTGGGTTATGACACTCAACAAGACCTAATTACCCCCCCCCCCAACCCCCCCACACACACTTTTATCTTCCTATCACCTTCTTCTGTAGATAATCTCATTTCATCTCCCTGCTATAAAAGCCGCGGACAGATCTGTGAATTGCTCTGAAGTTCTTTCCACTTCCCTATAATGGGTCAGGTTGCCAACTTAGGTCAGCTGGCTGGCGTTAGATTTTCAATTCGAGACAAGTCTGCACTCACATGCACACGCATTTACATGTATGTAACAGTTTCATTACCTTGTAAATAGTCTGTAGGGTTCGCAAACTACCCCAACGCTTTTGATGTAGCTGGTTTTAGGTGTATAATCCCCTCCCACTTCACCCTAACTTGCCAGGTCACACACCCCTTGGACTCCTCTTACTGTCCAGTCTCTCCTGTGCCTCACTGTTCATTATTGTCATTTAATTCTATCTGTGCATACAGTATTGTGCAAAAGTCTTAGACAGGTAAAGAAGCTATTTACCTGGAGATTAAGTACATATTTGCTCAGAAAAACACAATTTAACATCCGAATATATGCATGTTAAAAGTAACACAATAAAAATTAAGAGTAATTTCTTCTTTTCTCCAAAAAGTTACTGACATCTAGTTGGATGGCGAGATGAACACGGCTTCAGTGCCCAAACCTCTCCTCAGGGGCACCCCAGCCATTCCATGCATTTTGTTAACTTTCAACACCAATTCAATTAATTAATCTACTTAATTAGTTAAATAACTCAATGAGGTATTGATTAGCCAAACATAATATGCTATTGGTCCCGAATGTGAGAAGGGTGGTCGGGTGATTTTTGGGGAGGTTTTGAAATGGTTAAAACAACACACTTAGACAGACATAATATCATAATTTTATACCAAAATTAAAAGCATTCAAACATTTTCATTGAACGCGTAACACTTTTTTACAGCACTTTATATTGGTTAACATGCAAGGAACTATTGCACACGTGGCAGTAAAGCTTTTGAAATCTTGAACCCTTAAAAACTGTTGCCAGGATATCACCATGTATTGTGACTGTAATGTCTCTATTTAATAAGCAGCACTA